TCACGGACTTTCCTGCCCGGGCTGGCTTTGAACCGCGATCCTCAGATATCAGCCTCCTGAGTAGCTAGGATTACAGGTGTGAGCCACTGGTGCCCGGCTCTATTTATTTGTGCTGGTACTGGCACTTGAATTCAGTGCTTGACACTTCTGCTAAGCTTTTTGGCTTGTTTTCCACTCACAGCTGGCACTGTGTTCCTTGAGCCACTTTCAGTACAAGACTAAAAAACTCTTTAAAAAGGGGCTGGGAATGTGGCTTAGCGATAGAGTGCTTGCCTAGCAGGCATGAAGCCCTGGGTTCAATTCCTCAGAAAAAGCGGGAAGTGGCACTGTGGCTCAAGTGGTAGAGTGCTAGCCTTGAGCAAAAGAAGTTCAGGGACAGTACCCAGGACTGGCAAAACAAAACAAACAAAAAACAACCAAAACCCAACAAAACCAAATAAACCCCAAACCTCTTTAAGTCATACAAATACATTTCGAAATCAGCGCCTCTACCGCCCCCCCCCCCCCCCCCCCCCCATCAACAAAACCTCCACATTGGCTTTTCAGAAGCCTTTTACCTGGAACAAACGCAGGTATACAGATAAAGGAAGTACCCCAGGTGACTTGAATATGTATCATCCCTCTAAATATTTTAGCCTTCAGTGTAATTCATTTGCCCAGAGAGCTGCAGAGCATCGCTGAAAAAAACTAGCTTCTTAAATTTTTGCCACTGCCAGCTAACTCTAGAGGAATTAGTGAATCTATCTTTTGTTCAGATTCCTTATCTCATCAGTATTGGCTGGGTGACCTCACATTTGCTGACTTCCCATGCTTTGAGCTGACAGGCAGAGCTAGTTCTTGTCGATAACTTCTACAGCAGGAGTGAAAAAAATGTGATATGCCTTTTTTTTTTTTTTTCTGTTGTGGGACTTGAAATCTGGGCCTGAGTGCTGTCCCTCAGCTCTTAAGCTCAAGGCTAGTGCCACTTGAGCCACAGTGCCACTTCGGATTACAGGTGTGAGCCACCAGTGCCCGGCTGTGATATGCCTATTATCTCGCCTATTACCTAGTAACACACAAAATTGAAGTTATTTTTCTGAGCCATACCACTTTTCTAAATTTTTTTTATGTTGTTGGGATTTTTTATTGTATGTTTTTTATTGTAAAAATACTGTACAGAGAGGTTACAGTTATATGAGAAAGGTAATGAGTACATTTCCTATTGAGCATTGTTAAAAATTTCATTTTTATAAACCTAATTGGGGCCAGGTGCTAGTGGCTCAACCTGTAATCCTAGCTTCTCAGGAGGCTGAGATCTGAGGATCACAGTTCAAAGCCTGCCCAGGCAGAAAAGTCTGTGAGACTCTTCTCTCTAATAAACCACTAGTAAACCGGAAGTGGTGCTGTGGCTTAAGTGGTAGAGCACTGGCCTTGAGCTGAAGAGAGCAGGGACAGTGCCCAAGCCCAGAGTTCAAGCCCCACGATCGACAAAACAAAACTAAACCTAATTGGGTAAATAATTTGATTAAAATAGGAAATTGGGTCTAGTTGACATATTGAATTTTGTTTTCTTTTGATTTTGCTCTTTCATCCTAACTGTATATGAATTTTAAAATATGTATGGATAGAAAGGCTTTGTTATGGGAATTTAACATTTTTATAATGTAATTAAGATTTATATATATATAGATTCTATACTTTATTTTTCATCATATTTAGCATTTCCTATCCTATAAATAAAATATTGCTGTCTTAGTTACAGGCACAAATTATTGCCACTTTAGAACAAAAATATACAATTGTATTTTAGAATGTGAATACTTGGTAGTGTTTTTTGTTATTGTTGTTTGCTTTTGTCAGCCACAGGGCTTGAACTCAGTGCTTAGGCACTATCTATGATCCTTCAGCTGTTTTACTCAAGGTTAGTACTCGGCTGTTTTAAGCCATAGCTCCACTTCCATTTCCTGGAGGTAAGAGTCTCACGGACTTTTCTGCTCTAGCTGGCTTTGAACTGAGATCCTCAGATCTCAGCCTCCTGAGTAGCTAGGAGTAAAGGTGTCAGCTACCAGCATTCTGGAAGGTATCTGTTTTCATTTTGGTTAGTCTATAAATTAATATTTAAGTGTTCTCTTGTAGTGTTTTGTTTTGTTGTTGTTGTTGTTAGTTGGTCACGGGGCTTGAATTCTGGGCCTGGGCACTGTCCCTGTGCTCTTCAGCTCAAGGCGAGCACTCTACCTCTTGAGCCACAGTGCCACTTCTGGTTTTCTAGTGGTTTATTGGAGATCAGAGTCTCATGGACTTTTCTGCCTCGGCTGGCTTTGAACCATGATCCTCAGATCTCAGCCTCCTGAGTAGGATTACAGGCATGAGCTACAGGCACCCAGCTGCTTGTAGTGTTTTTAATGGGGCTTGACAAAGGGACTCTGATAGTCATGTAAAAGAGGAAATGTATTACATATAAAATGTGAAGATTTTGAAAGTAGAAGCAACAGAGTAGTAAAGAGAAACTTGCCCTACTGGATATAAATGCTATCATAATTTCAAAAACGACATAGCACAGGAAAAGACAAATTAGTTAAGAATTGTGGATGAGTCCCCTGGCACTGGTGGATCTTGTCTGTAATCCTAGCTACTCAGGAGACTAAGATGTGAGGATCACAGTTCAAAGCCAGCTGTGGAAGTAAAGTCCAAGAGACTTTTTATCTCCAGTTAAGCACCAAAAAAGTCAGAAGTGGAGCTGTGGCTTAAGTGGTAGAGCACTATCCTTGAGCAAAAGAAGTCAGGGACAGTGCCTAGACCCTGAGTTCAGTCCCCAGGACCAGCACCCCTCCCAAAAAATGGATGAATATGAACATATTTTATAATAAAAATGGCTTTTCCTTTTATCCGAGTTCCTCAGGAGGCTCAGATCTGAGGTTATGATTTGAAGCTCAGTAGGGCAGGAAAGTCTGTGAAACTTACCTCTAATTAATCACCAAAAAGTTGCAAGTGGTGCTGTGTTAAGAGTACTAACCTTGGGCAAAAAATGCTCAAGACAACTCCAGGTCCTGCTTGAGTTCAAGACCCAGGATCAGCAACCGCCTTCCCCGCTCCCCCTCTCCCCCCCAAAGGGCATTTATGCCAGGTACCAGGTGACTAAGGCCTGTAATCCTAGCTACTCAGGAGACTGAGATCTGAGGATCAAGATTTGAAGTTAGCCCAAGCAGATAAACCCAAGACATTCTTACATCATTTTTTTTTTTTTTTTTTTTGGTCACTCGTGGTGCCGTCCTTCAACTCTTCAGCTCAAGGCTAGCGCTCTACCACTTTGAGCTACAGCACTACTTCCAGCTTTTACTGCTTATATCGTGCTGAGGAATTGAACCCATGGCCTCATGCGTGCAAGGCAAGCACTCTACTACTGAGCCACCTTCCCAGCCCCACTCTTACATTCTTATCTCCTGTTAAAAATCAGTAAAAAGCTGGAAGTAGTAGATGCCAGCTGTGTGCAGAAAAAGCCCAATGAGAATTTGAGTAATTGAGTTCCAGCCCAAGTACAAAACAATAGCAACAACAATAACAACAACAAAAACCCACCAAAAAAACAAACTGAATTAAGCAACCAACAAACCCAAGTGGCTATTAATTTTTTATTTTTATTTATTTTATTTCTTTCTTTCTTTTTTTGTCTGGTCATGGGGCCTGAACTCTGGGCTTGGGCGCCGTCCCTCAGCTCTTCAGCTCAAGGCTAGCACTCTACTACTTGAGCCACAGCACCACTTCCGGCCAGGGCCTCATGCATGCAAGGCAAGCACTCTACCACTGAGCCACCTTCTCAGCCTTGGCTATTAATTTTTTTATGTACTATTTCCCATAGAAATTTGTAGAGAGCTGTGGTAGGTATGGTTCCCTACTCATCTGTTTAATAGTTTATCATAGTAGTTTCAGGGTTGTTTTTTTGTTTTTGTTTTTTGGCCAGTTGTGGGACTTGAACTCAGGGCCCAGGCACTGTCTCTGAGCTCTTTTGCTCAAGGCTAGCACTCTACCACCTTGTGGGACAGTACCACTTCTGATTTTCTGGTGGTTAATTGGGGATGAGACTTGCTCAGACTTTCCTGCCCAGTCTTAGCCGCCCCGTCCCCTGCCCAAGTACCTAGGATTATAAACAAGGGACACCAGTGCTCTGCTAACTGTATCTCCACCCCGACCTTTTTTTTTTTTCCCCTTGGTATTTTCTTTTTTGGCACTGGGATTAAATCCAGGATCTTGCACTTGCTAGGCAAGCACTTTGGCACCAAGCTGTATCCTGGCTAGAGTGTAAATCTTTTATTTATTTATTTATTTTTTTATGGGTCATGGGGCCTTAACTCTGGGCCTGGGTGCTGTTCCTCAGCTCTTCAGCTCAAGGCTAGTGCTCTACCACTTGAGCCATAAGTGCCACTTCCGGCTTTTTCTGCTTATGTGGTGCTAAGGAATTGAACCCAGGGCCTTATGCATGCAAGGCAAGCATTCTACCACTGAGCCAACTCCTGTCCGAGAGTGTAAATCTTGTTAAAATTTATTTTATTCTCTCAGGGCCTTAAAATTCATTTTATTCACTCAGGGCCTTGAGCTTGCTAGATGAATCTTCTACCATTTTTTTTCCCCTTTAGGTTTTCAGACAAGGAGTTTTGGATTCTTTTCTTGGAGGCAGACCTTAGATCAGGATCTTCCTTTATATGGTCATTTACCTAATTGGGATTGCAGATGTTTGTTCTCACCGTTTTTGCCTGGTGTTCTTGAACCAAGATTCTCCTGACTTTGCCTCCTGAGTAGTTCTATTTTATGCATTATATTATTAGCCATATATTAAAGAACTTTTTTCTAAATGTAAAGATTAAGACCCATTAGTTTACCAAATCTTAGTTACTTTTATTAAGCAAATAACATAGAGAGGCTTTTACTAGTGATTGTAGTTTTATTTATGGATATAGTTATGTTACTAGAAGACCATTTGATTTTATTTTAGTTCTTACAAATTGTTTTTTCTCCATCCTATTTAGGTGGTTTCCTAGAAACATGATTGATTGTTGGACTTGATCTCACAGCACAGTGAGGACTTCTTTACTGATAATGTCAAGTTCAGGATATCCTCCCAACCAAGGAGCATTCAGTACAGAACAAAGCCGTTATCCTCCCCATTCTGTTCAGTACACCTTTCCTAGTACCCGCCACCAGCAGGTAAGGAGCAAAATGCATACATGTTTTGTATTTTATCTTTCTATTTAATGTTCATTTGTCAGAAATCAAATGTACTTTTTTCTTTATGTACTTTTTTCTTCATTATGAAAGATTGGGAATCAAAGTTTGGAATAATTATCTTTATTTTTTTACTGTTTTTTTTAATAGATTTTAGAGATTGAGCACGTTTCTGTTGTTTTTTTTTGGGGGGGGTGGGAGTACAGTAATTGATAGAAAAGAAGAAATTAAAGTTAAGCAGGGTGCTGGTAGCTCATGCCTATAATTCTAGTTACTCTGTAGGCTGCAATCCAGAGGACCAAGATTTGAAGACAGCCCCATCAGGAAAGTCCCTGAGACTCTTATTTCCAATTATCCACCAGAAAGTTGAAGTGAAGCTTTGGCTCAAGTGGTAGAATGCTGGCCTTGAGCAAAATAATCTAAGGGACAGAGCCCAAGCCCCAGTATTGCTTAGAATTTCTAAGTTAAGACCTATATTTTGCATTCCATGTTCTAGTTGAGTTTTAAACTGGCCATATAACTTGGACTGAGTGATAGCTAGCAAAGGTAAAGAGGTCTTTACCTTTTTTTTTTTTTTTCCCCAGTACAGGGGCTTGAACTCAGGGTCTGGGCACTGTCCTTGAGCTTCTTTTTTTGCTCAAGACTAGCACTCTTCCATTTGAGCCACAGCACCACTTTTGCCTTTTTCTGTTTATGTAGTGCTGTGGAATCGAACCCAGGGCTTCATGCATGCTGGGCAAGCACTCTACCCCTAAGCCACATTCCCAGTTCTCTTTACTGTCTTAAAGAGAGTTAATGTTAATTTGGAAAACATAAATTCTTCTCCCCTTTCTCTTCCTCCCCTCCCTTCCCTCTCCTTTTTTGTGTTGCTAGACATTGGGCTGAGGGCCTAAGGGATAGACAAAGCTCTACCATTGAGCCACAGCTTTGGTCCTGTCTTTTTATTGTGTAGAATTTGTATAGCATTGACAATTTGTGGTTTCTTTTGGTTGGTCATGGGGCTAGAACTCTGAGCCTGGTGTTGTCTCTCAGCTCTTCAGCTCAATGCTAGCACTCAACCACTTGAGCCTCAGCGCCACTCCTGGTTATCTAGTGGTTTATTGGAGATAAGAGTCTCACGGAGCTGTGCACTGGTGGCTTATGCCTGTAATCCTAGCTACTCTGGAGGCTGAGATCTGAGGATCATGGTTCAAAGCCAGCCTGGGCATGAAAATTCTGGGAAGAATTTAAATTATCTTAAAATTTTAAATAGTTGCAATTTTAAATAGTTGTAATTCAGTTTATGTGTTTTTTCCCTTCGTTCAGCTGGTACATTTTTTATATTTATTTATTTTGTTATTTATTTATTTATTGGGCAGTGGGGCCTGAACTCTGGGCCTAATCACTGTCCCTCAGCTCTTCAGCTCAAGGCTCGCGCTCTACCACTTGAGCCACAGTGCCACTTCCAGCTTTTTCTGCTTATGTGGTACTGAGAAATCGAACCTAGGGCCTCATGCGTGCAAGGCAAGCACTCTACCAGTGAGCTACCTTCCCAGCCCCAGCTGGGTACATTTTCTTGCTTAAGATTTCATATTTAACCAGGCACAGGTGACTTACTCCTATATTCCTAGCTACTCATGAAGCTGAGATCTGAAGATGGAGGTTCAAAGACAGCTCAGGCAGGAAATTATCTCCAATTAACTACCAAAGAACTAGAAGTAGAGCTGTGGCTCAAATTATAGAGCACTAGTCTTGAGCAAAAACACTCAGGGACAGTTCCCAGGCCCTGAGCTCAGGCCCCAAGACCGGCACCAAATAAAATAAAATAAAATATTTCAGTCGATTATAAATTGTCATGATATTCCCTTAGCCTTTCAATGTCTTTGCCGATATGGTGAGTATTTTCCTCACTGATAGTGTTTTGTTCTTTCTTTCTTTCTTTTTTTTTTTTTTTTGTCGGTCATGGGGCTTGAACTCTGGGCTTGGGCGCTATCCCTCAGCTCTTCAAGTCAGAACTAGTGCCGTACCACTTGAGCCACAGCACCACTTATTGTTTTCTAGTGGTTTATTGGAGATAAGAGTCTCACGGAGTTTCCTACCTGGGCTGGCATTGAACTATGATCTTCAGATCTCAGCCTCCTCAGTAGCTAAGATTACAGGCTTGAGCCACCAGCACCTGGCTTGTTTTGTTCTTTCTTAAATCATAGATTTGTATCATGGTAGATTGTTTAAAGAAGAAGTTTTGGTTTTATTTTCCCATTGGTTTCTGTTTCACCAATTTTTGCTCTTTATTATTTTCTTCCTTCTAGAATAACTTGCTTTTATAACCATTTCTTTTGCCATCAGAACTGGAAGCTACACTGTATTGTTGCTTCTTTTATATTTTTTTCTGTTTTTTATTTTAATTTTTAAAATTGTTATTGTATAGGTGATATGCAGGTCTGGGAAGTTGGCACAGTGGTAGAGTGCCTACCTTGTGTACATGAGGCCCTGGGTTCAATTCCTCAGCACCACATAAGCAGAAAAAGCTGGAAGTGGCGTTGTGGCTCAAGTGGTAGTGTGATAATCTTGAGCTGAAGAGCTGAGGGACAGTGCTAGGCCCAGAGTTCAGGCCCCAGGACCGATAGAAAAAAAAAGGTGATGTACAGAGGGGTTACAGTTACATAAATCAGATAGTGAATACATTTCTTTTTGTACAATGTCACCCCTTCCCTCGCTTTCCCAGTTTTTCCCTCCTGTCCCCATCTATAAGTTATAGTTTATTTTTATCATAGTGTTCTAGGGAGTGCCACTGCTGCATTTGTTCACACTATGTCCCTCCATTTTCTTTTATATTTAGGTGTTTTTGTTTTATTTTTTTTTATTTTTTGCTGAATATATCCTTTAAAAATTCTTTCAGTGCCGGGGGGTATGCATTTCAGTGAGGCCCTGAATTAAATCTCTAGCACCACCAAACCAAACTCAAAATGTAAAAAAAAAAAATCAGTGTTTGTAGTTGGGATAATTTACAAGTGCTTCAGTTCTCAGGAGTTTGTAGTCTTAAAACTTGAATGAATGATGATGTGGGTATTGAGTTTGTGGGTTCAAAGTTGTTTTTGAGTTGAACTTGGAATATATACTGTGTCTATTTGCTTTGTGTTGCTGATAAAAGTCTGTTTAGTATCCTTGTTACATTGTAGAATACTATTTATGGGAACTTACTTTGTTTCTTCTAATTTCCTGGATGTAAATTCTTTATTCTTTTGGTGTCATTGTAAAAATTTTAAATGAGCCGGGTGCTGGTGGCTCATACCTGTAATCCTAGCTACTCAGGAGTCTGAGATCTGAGGATCATGGTTCAAAGACAGCTTGGGCAAGGAAAGTCTGTGATACTGATATCTCCAATAAACCACTAGAAAACCTGAAGTTGAACTTTGGCTCAAGTGGTAGAGTGCTCGCCTTGAGCTGAAGAGCTGAGGGATAGCGCTCAAGCCCAGAGTTCAAGCCCCACGACCGACCAAAAAAAAAAAGTGATTTTTTGTTTTCATTAGTTGTTTTTTTTATTTTTTTTAATTTTTTTATTTTTTTCGGTAGTGGGGCCTGAACACTGGGCCTGAGCGCTGTCCCTCAGCTCTTCAGCTCAAGGCTAGCCCTCTACCACTTGAGCCACAGCGCCACTTCCGGCTTTTTTCTTTTTGCTTATGTGGTGCTGAGGAATCGAACCCAGGGCCTCAAGCATGCAAGGCAAGTGCTCTACCACTGAGCCACCTTCCCAGCCCTAGTTGTTTTTTTTTTACATTTAAAACAATAAAATTTAATTGTTAAGTTATTGTACAAAGGGATTACTGTTTCATTAGTCAGGTAATGAATCCATTTCGTTCCTTTTATTTATTTTTGGTGGTGGCGGCTTGAACTTAGGGCTTGGGTGCTATCCCTGAGCTTTTTCTTCAAGGCTAGTTTCATAGACTTTCCTTCCCAGGCTGACCTTAAACCATGATCCTCATATCTCAGTCTCCTGGCGGCTAGGATTACACGCATGAGCCACCAATGCCTGGATAGGTGTACATTTCTTTTCTTTCTTTCTTTTTTTTTTTTTTTTTCTGTTGGTTGTAGGGCTTGGACTCTGTGCCTGAGCGCTGTCCCTCAACTCTTCAGCTCAAGGCTAGCACCCTACCACTTGAGCTACAGTGTTGCTTTCGATTTTCTAGTGTTTATTGGAGAAAAGAGTTTCACAGACTTTCCTGCCCTGGATGGTTTTGAATCACGATCCTCATATCTCAGCCTCCTGAATAGCTAGAATTATAGGCATGAGCCACCTGTGCCCAGCTTTATCTGAGATTTTTTTCTTAAACTAACCTTGAGTTATGATTTCTATTATCGACTTATGGACAAAAGCTTTGGACTACTTTCTTTTACCTTCCTGAGCCTGAACAATTCAAATTTTATCTGTTCATATATTTTTTTCTTTTTTTATGTGGGGTTTACAGTTTGAACTCAGGGGCTGGGTACTACTGAGCTTTATTTTTTTACTTACTTTATGGCTATTACTTTTCTGCTTGTCACAACTCTTATTTTCTGGCTTTTTGGTGGTTAATTGGAGTTACATGGACTTTCATGCTAGGGCTAGTTCCGATCTGGGTTCCTCAGATCTCAGCCTTTGGAGTAGCTAGGATTATAGGCATTAGTCACTTGTGTGCGGCCTATTTATGATTTTTAAAGTTTTTTTCTTGACTTAGAATTCACATAACAAAATTTGCATAGCAGAAATTTGACTTTAAAAAGTATGTAATGTAATACTTTTAGTATTGTCACTATATTGTGCTTTGTTACCTAAATCCAGAAAATTTCCATACTTGAAATGAAACCCCATATCTGATAACAGGCCAGTTTCCCCCTTTGTTACTAGAAACACCTAATTTAGTCTGTCTCTGTGAATTTGCACGTAAATGGAATAAAGATAGTTGGCTTTAAACAAAAATCTGGTTTTTAAAACTTGCCCACCTTTTTTGTTTGTTTGTTTTTGTCGGTAGTGGGGGCTTGAACTCTGGGCCTGGGCACTGTCCCTCAGCTCTTCAGCACAAGGCAAGTGCTCTATCCCCTTGAGTCACAGCGCCACTTCCAACTTTTTTTTTTTTTAAGCATTCATTTGTCTCCTAGTATGTATTGATGTTTAATTTTTTTTTTTTCATGGTGAGTACTATTCTGTTTTTGTTCATTCATTGGTCAATTTGGATGTTTACATTTTTGGCTATTACTAATAATGTACTTTTGAAAATTTATTTGGAAAGCTTTTTGTTTATTTGCTTTTAATTTTTTGGTATATACCTTGCATTAAATTGTTGTTCAGAGGCTGGGAAGGTAACTCAGTGGTAGAGCGCTTGCCTTGCATTCCTGAGGCTCTGGGTTCGATTCCTCAGCACTACATAAGCACAAAGAAAAAAGCTGGAGGTGGAGCTGTAGCTCAAGTGGTAGAGCACTAGCCGTGAGCTGAAGAGCTGAGGGAAAGTGCCCAGGCCCAGAGTTCAGGCCCCACAACCGGACCCAAAAAAAAAATTGTTGTTCAGTAATTCTGCCTTTAAATATCTGTTTAAGATTGAGTGAAAGGAAGTTCTAGCCAGAAAAATTAACAAAAATAAAGTAGAAAAACAAGCTCTAAAACATTCATCTTGTAATCCTAGCTACTCCGGAGCCTGAGATCTGAGGATCAAGGTTTGAAGTCAGCCTGGCTAGATAAGTCAGACTGTTATCCTCAAATAACCAACAAAAAGCCAGAAGTGGAGTTATGGCTCAAGTGGTAGCATTTCAGATAGAGCAGAAAAGTCAAGTGAGAATGTGAGGGTCCTGAATTTTTTTTTTTTTTGTCGGTCATGGGGCTTGAACTCTGGGCCTGGGTGCTGTCCCTCAGCTCTTTAGCTCAAGGCTAGTACTCTACCACTTGAGCTACAGCACCACTTCCGGTGTTCTAGTGGTTTATTGGAGACAAGAGTTTCATGGACTTTCCTGCCCCGGCTGGCTTTGAACTGCTATCTTCAGATCTCAGCCTCCAGAGTAGCTAGGATTACTGGTGTGAGCCACCGATGCCCGGTTGAAGGTCCTGATTTTTAAGCCCTGGTGCCATCACAAAAAAATAGGAAAGGAAAAAACCCCCCAAAACCCAAACACCTTGGTAAGATGGGAAAACTATTATTCTTAACTAATCTGTTGCTTCTCTGGACTTTATTTCTTCATTTATAAATATGTATGGGTCTAACTTTATGATTTCTATAACTCTGATAGCTTACCAATTTGTGTAAGCACTGAATGCACGCTAGGATTTTATGTTGAACACATAATAACATAAACTTGAGATTTTACTTACTTGAGCAATATAGATTGGGAGTAATAAGCTATTAGAGGGATGAATAAATAGAACTTGATCTTGAAATTTCACTTGAATTTTTTCCAGTACTGGGTTTTTGAGCTCAAAGGTACATGCTTACTGAGCAGGTGTTCTGTACCTGATCTACATATTTAAATACCTCTCCCTCTTTTTTTTTTGGTCCTGTTTATTTTTTTTGAAATTGTGCCTAACTTTCTACTTTGGCATGCTTGTAGACCTAGGTCCATCTAATTTCAATTTTAGGTTTCTTGTCCTAGGTGGGATGATAGGGCATGCCACTGTGCCCAGTTATAGTTGAGAAAGGGTTCATGAACTTTCCCTCTGCACTGACCTCCAACTTTGATCCTCTTGATTTTTGGCCTCTCAAGTAGCTAGGATTTAGGCATAAACTATTGATGCTCAGGTTTAATAATAATAATAACAACAATAATAATTTAATCTTGTCAGTTTATTTGCTTATTTGTATTAACTCCTTTTATTGACCATCCTGAGACACTAACATATGTTTTTGTTTGTGATCAGAGAAAAAACATTTTGGAATGGACAGTCTGATTCTACTGTTTTGGCTTTTTTTTTTTTGGGTCCGGTCATGGGGCCTGAACTCTGGGCCTGGGCGCTGTCCCTCAGCTTTTCAGCTCAAGGCTAGCGCTCTACCACTTGAGCCACAGCGCCACTTACGGCTTTTTTCTTTTGGCTTATGTGGTGCTGAGGAATTGAACCCAGGGCCTCATGCATGCAAGGCAAGCGCTCTGCCACTGAGCCACCTTCCCAGCCCAGTTTTGGCTTATTTTTTTTACTGTGATTAAAATGTTGATTCTTTAGGTTTATTGGGGAGGAATTTACTGAGTAAAGAATTGAAATCATTATTACCATTTATGTCCATATTTAGTGTTCCTTAAGTAGTTGGTTTAATTTCATGATGCTATCTACTTTTTAGTTAATAGCTAATTTATGATTATTTTAATACCAGGAATTTGCAGTCCCTGACTATCGTTCTTCTCATCTTGAAGTTAGTCAGGCGTCACAGCTTTTGCAACAACAGCAGCAGCAGCAGCAGCAGCAGCTTCGAAGGCGACCTTCCTTGCTTTCAGAATTTCACCCAGGTTCTGACAGGTAATGGAATTTCTTTTATGTTCCCATCTAATGTTGTGTGACTATTTTAAATATTTTACTACTGAGCAATGGCTGGTCATAATGTTGTGTTTTGAACTCTTTATATTGGTTGATCTTTTGGAGTTTTTAATAATGTTGTTTTCTTCCTATTCCCTTTTCTTTCTGTTTATTTCCTTGTAACTCAACTGAGGGCCTTGCTCTTGTTAGGAAACAGCTTATCACTTGAGCTAAGCACTAGCTCAATAACAAGTTAGTATAACTTCTTTCCATAAGTGAGCATTAATGTTACAGAATGGAAAATTGGGAAGACTTAGGTTTGATTCCTAGTCAGTTTTGTGGCCTTGATCACTTAGTTTATGTGAACTGCCGCCATTGCTGCATGTTAGAACTCCATGGGGTGACCAAGTCTCATCACAAAACAATTAAATCAATCTTGAGTTAGGCTCAGACATTTGTCTAGTGTCCATAGTTTCTCATGATTCTTTTTTATGGCTGGGATTGCAAATCATTAATTTAGACTAGTTAGGCTTTTGTCTTCTAACCTGTAATAATGGAGATACTAATGATAAGATCTTTAAAAGATAGTAAATATTCTGTCGGTGCCCAGTGGCTCCTGCCTATAATCCTAACTACTCAGGAGGCTGAGATCTGAAGATCAGGGTCTAACTCTGGTAGGGGAGAAGTCTTTGAGCCTCTGATCTATTCACAATGGCCAAGTTGTGTAAACAGCCCAGGTGCCCTACAATAGGTGAATAGATTAAAAAAACAAAACATGGTATCTATACACAATGGAATTTTATACAATCATGGATGATGGATTTAGAACAAATCATTTTAAGTGAGGTAAGCTAAGCTCAAAATGGCACATGTTTTCTCTTATGTGCAGAAGCTGGCTCTAAAGTACTCTGGGACATGATAAACTATACTGTATTCTACACATTCATACACAGTGAGATGAAAGGAGGTTATTCTTAGGGAAGGAACACAAAGTTCAATGCCAGTATGCTTCTGATTATATAAAATATATTTATGGAAATAAACTCCAGGAAATAGAAACAAAAAAGTTGCTAGCTTTGAGATTTGTTGTCTACAATTAACCGCCACACAGCCAGAAGTGGAGCTGTGGCTCAACAAGTAACCTTGAGCAAAAAAACTCAGAGACAGCATCCCAGCAGACCCTTGGTTCAAGCTCCAGGACTGACGCACACAAAAAGTTAATCAATACTTTATTTTTAATTTTCCCTTTACTAGTAGAGTATTGAATTTAGGTGCTTGGGTTTGCTAGGTAGGTACTTTACCACTTAAGCCATGCCTGCAACCCTTTTTGTAACTGTCCTGGGCACTGTCCCAGTGCTTTTGCTTAAGGCTAGAGACACAGCTCCATTTCCACCTTTTTGGTGGTTAATTGGAATTAAGAATCTCATGTACTTTCCTGCTTGGGCTGAGTAGCTAGGATTACATGTATGAGCTATCAGAACCTGGCTAATTCATCATTTGTTTGTGTGTTTATGTGTCTGTGTCTGTAAGGGAAGAACAGCTAAAATTTATGCATTTAGCTTGAACTCCAAATATTGTACAGTTTTATTTATAATGCTAGTGTTGTATATTAGATCTTTGGAAATACAGCATAACCTGTATTTCTGCTACTCTGTATCACCTGACTACATCTGTTTTATTGTTTTATTGTCTGTTTTTGTAAATTTGGTTTTTCTTTTCAGATTACATATATAAGTGATACTGTGTAACATTTGTGTTTCTCTGGTTTCCTTTAGCAAAATGTTCTAGGTTCATCCATGTTGTAGTCAGTGGCAAAAGCTCGTTCTTTGTGTGTGTGTGTGGGGGGGGGGTGGTAATAACACTCCTGTGTGTGTTTGTGTGTATACATAACTCATTGTCCATTTGTCCATCACCTGATGCTTGTTTTTAAATTTTGGCTGTTGTGAATAAGGCTGTACCAAACGTGGGAGAGCAGAAATCTTTTATTTCTTTTGGATATATGTCCAGAAGAGGGTTTGCTTTGTCATATTCTTTCTGGTTTTCAGTGGGTTTTTTATTTTTGTTTTTGTTTTTTTTGGGGGGTGCCAGTTCTGGGGCTTGAAATCTGGTTGAGGGCTGTCTCTGAGCTCTCCCCTCCCCTTTTATTTTAAGACTCAAGCTTTTCCATTTGAGTCACAGGAGTCTCTCTGACTTTCCTGTTTGGGCTGGCTTCAAACTGTAATCCTCAGATCTCAGCCTTCTGAGTAGCAAGGGTTATATGGCATGAATCACCAGCCAGACTTTTTTCTAATTTTAAAATTTATTTAGAAACCTCCATATTCCTCCTCGTCCCTCCCCTCCTTTATTGTTATAAAGGTGATGTACAGAGGAGGGGTTACAGTTACATAAGTCAGGTAAATGAGTACATTTCATTTTTGACAATGCAGCCATTCCTTTGTTCTTTCCCAGTTTTTCTCTCCCATCCCCACCCACAATACTTTTTTAAAAAAAATTATTGTACCAATCTACATTCCCACCAACAGTGTATAAGCATCTCTTTTGTTTGTATTCTTGTCCACACATTTGTTTTTGTTTTTGTTTTTTTTTTACTGTTTTGATAATAACTATCCTAATGGGGAAGAAGTGGTGTTGAACAATTGTTTTGGTTTCCAGTTCCCTGATAACTCATGATGTCGAGCCTTTTTAAAAATTGATTTTTTTGGGGGGGAGGGGCTCGTGGGCCTGAACTCTGGGCCTGGGCGCTGTCCCTCAGCTCTTCAGCTCAAGGCTAGCGCTCTACCACTTGAGCCACAGCACCACTTCCGGCTTTTTTCTGCTTATGTGGTGCTGAGGAATCGAACCCAGGGCCTCATGCATACAAGGCAAGCGCTCTACCACTGAGCTACCTTCCCAGCCCTCAAAATTGATTTTTAAAAAAATTTCTATTATTATAAAGGCCATGTTCAGAGGGAATTACAAAATTGATTTTTTTTCCTTGTCGCTCGCGGTTGACAGGACCGCCCGCGAGCGGTAGGCGGCCCCAGCCATGCGCGAGCACGCGCTCTAGCACCATAGCTCGACCCCAGGCGCCGCGCGCAGGCGTGATGGGACTCAAAGGCAGCAACTCAGAATTGATTTTTTTGAGTTGTAGGAATTCTTTATAAATGTTGGGAGGGTAAGGAAAGGCACAGAAAAGGTGGAGCAAGGGTGAACAAATAGAATGGTGGTACTCAGTAGACACCATGTAGAAATGAAACAATATTTTGTGGGTGGGGCTGGGAGGAAAAAACCGGAAGAGAGTGATGGAAGAGGAAGAGACGTGATTCTAAAAGAATTGTACATTATCTGATGCATGTAACTATAACCCCTATGTATATCACCTCTATAAGAACAATAAAAAATGCAATGGAGAATTTAAAAAAACGTTGCATACTAACCTCTTATAGCATACAGATTTACAATTTTTTCATTCTTCTGTGTAACTTTGTTAATTTCTTTTTGTGTGTAGAAGCTTTTTTTTTTTTTTTTTTCTTTTTGAGTTTGGCTGGTTGACTGATCCTGGGGATTGAACTCAGGACTTGAGCCTGTCCCTGAGATTTTTTTGCTCAAGGCTAGCACTTTGCTACAGCTCCGTGTGTGTGTGTGTGTGTGTGTGTGTGTGTGTGTGTGTGTGTTTTGGGTGGTTAATTGGAGGTAAGAATCTCAGACTTTCCTGCTTGCAATTGCCTCCAGCTACAGGTGTGTGTGTGTGTGTGTGTGTGTGTGTGTCCGTGCGTGCGTGCGTGCGTGTGTGTGTGTGTGTGTGTGTGTGTGTGTGTGTTTTGGGTGGTTAATTGGAGGTAAGAATCTCAGACTTTCCTGCTTGCAATTGCGTCCAGCTGCGATCTTCAGATCTCAGCCTCCTTTTAGCTTGAATATAGGTGTAGGCCACTGGCACCTGTCTCACTTCTAGTTTTTTGGTGGTTAACCGGAGAAAAGAATCCTGCCCACGCTGCCTAGAATTATAGGTGCAAGCCACTGGCAACTGTATTTGCGCAGAAGCAGTTTAGTTTTATGCAGTTCTATTTATTTTTGCTTTTGTGGCTTGAACATTTTGTTATTTTGACAAAAAAGTCATTGCCAAGGTCAGTGTCCAGGAGCTTTCCCCAACTGTGTTCTCTTCTAGAATTTCAGTTCATGTATATTTTTGTTGTTTTGGTTTATTTTTGTGTATTATGTATGTTCAGTGCCTAATTTCAGTCTTTTCCATGTGGAAATCCCCAGTCTTTCCAGCATGTTTATTTATTTATTTATTTTTGTGTTGTTGTTGGTCCTAGGGCCTGAAACCAGGACCTGGGTGCTGTCTCTGAGCTTTTTTGCTCAAGACTAGCGCTGTACCACATGAGCCAGCTTTTTTGGTGGTCAGTTGGAGATAAAAGGCTCTCAGACTTTTCTGACTGTGTTGGCTTTGAGCTGTGATCCTTAGATCCACAGCCTTCTGAGTAGCTAGGATTACAGGCATGAGCCACTAGCTTTCAGCCCTTCTGTTCTTTTCTCTTGGTGTATGTGTCTGTTTTTTCGGCCAGTCTCTAATGTTGGATTACTATAGATTTGTAACATAATTTTACCTCAGGAAATGTGTTCCTCAGAGTTTGTTTTTCTTTTTCAGAATAGTTTTGGTTCTGTATGATGTTTAGAATTTTTCTTGTGTGTGTGTGTGTGTGTGTGTGTGTGTGTGTGTGTGTGTGTGTGTGTGTGTGTGTGTGTGAAGAATGGTATTGAGATTGCACTGAATCTATATATTACATTGGGTAGTTGTTATTTTATTACTTATTATTTTTGTAGTGCCAGTCCTGGACTTGAACTCTCAGTGTTGTCCCTGAGCTTTTTTTTGCTCAAGGCTAGTAATCTGACACTTGAGCCAAAGCTCTGTTTCTGGCATTTTGGTGGTTAATTGGAGATATTGCCTCTTATCTCCAATTAATAGAGCTTTCTGCTCGGGAGTTGTTAGGATTACAGGTGTGAGCCGCCAGTGCCTACTTGCTTGTATTCCTAATTACTATGTTGTAGAAAAGTATCCTTGGTTTGTACCAGTTATTAGGCTTTATTTGATTATGTTAACTATGAGTTTTTCACAAATGTTTGAGCTGTTTTCCATATATAATTGTTTCTTCTATACTTTTCTTTCTATTCCTTTTCTATTTTTTTGGGTCCGGTCGTGGGGCCTGAGCTCTGAGCCTGGGCTCTGTCCCTCAGCTCAAGGCTAGCGCTCTACCACTTGAGCCACAGTGCCACTTCTGGCTTTTTTCTTTTTGCTTATGTGGTGCTGAGGAATGGAACCCAGGGCCTCAGGCATGCAAGGCAAGCGCTCTACCACTGAGCCACCTTCCCAGCCCTCTTTTATACTTTCTTTACTTCTATTTCTGAATTTTTTTTTTGGTCAATCATGGGACTTGAACTCTGGGCCTGGGCCCTGTCCCTCAGCTCTTTGACTCAATGCTAGTGCTCTACCACTTGAGCTACAGCGCCACTTCTGGTTTTCGGAGATAAGAGTCTCACAGACTTTCCTGCATAGGCTGGCTTTGAACCTCGATCCTCAGATCTCAGCCTCCTGAGTAGCTAGGATTAAAGGCATGAGCCACCAGCTCCTGGCCATATTTCTGAATTTTTTTTTATTTTTATTTTTGCTGGTCGTGGGGCCTGAACTCTGGGCCTGGGCATTGTCCCTCAGCTCTTCAGCTCAAGGTGAGCCATTCTACTACTTGAGCCACAGTGCCACTACTGCTTTTTCTGCTTATGTGGTGCTGAGGAATCGAACCCAAGGCCTCATGCATGCAAGGCAAGCACTCTACCATTGGGCCACCTTCCCAGCCCTATTTCTGAATTTTTTAAGTTTCAGCAAGTACTTACTTTTATTTCCTGCTCCTCATGGAGGAAATGGGAAGTGAAGAATCCCTATTTCCTAAGACATAGTTTTATTGAGAGTCCCTTCTTTTTTTTTTTCTTCTTTTCTTTTGGTCAGTCCTGGGCCCTGAACTCTGGGCCTTGGTGCTGTCCCTCAGCTCTTCAGCTCAAGGCTAGTGCTCTATCATTTGAGCCACAGTGCCACTTCCAGCTTTTTTTGCTTATGTGGTGCTGTCTAATTGAACCTAGGACCTCACGCATACAAGCAAGCGCTCTACCACTGAACCACCTCCCAACCCCCCTTATCATTATTTTCACTTTTTTTTTTTTTTTTTTTTTTGTCGGTCATGGGGCTTGAACTCTGGGCCTGAGCCCTGACCCTCAGCTCTTCAGCTCAAGGATCGCACTCTACAACTTGAGCCATAGCACCACTTCCAGTTTTCTGAGTGGTTTATTGAAGATAAGAGTCTCACCACCTTTCCTCAGATCTCAGCCTCCTGAGTAGTTAGGATTACAGGTGTGAGCCACTGGCGCCTGGCTCATTCTTTTTACTTCTGAGTCATCAATATTCATTTCTTCACTTTGATCTTTTTAATTTATTTGAATAGGGAAAAATTTTGTAATATTAAACCTTCTTTTCTCCCTCTCCTCCTCCCCCCACTTTCTCTCTCCCCTCTCCCCTCTCCCCTCTCTCCTCTCTCCTGGGATTTCTTATTAATGCTTACTAATTGGAGAACTTAAATGGGATGGTGGTGAGTGTTTTTTTTTTAGAAATTCCCATCATATCATCCTAATTCCTCAGCAGCTGTTAGAAGGGCATGTATGGTGTCCTGTTTTCCACAGTAGTGAGCCAACCCCTTAGTTTATGTGTCTGGTTGATATAGTAGGCCAAGCTTCTTAATAAAGGCTCTTAAAACCACAACCAAGTTTTCTCCTCCTTTGCTCTACTTCCCAGCTTCTTCACACTGTGGAAGAGTATATAGAAAGCCATACCCTACTATTCTTAACTCAGAGCAGGCAAATGGGAATGATCAAAAGCCCACTTGGGGTATTCTAAATATACCAAAGAAAATCTAAATAGGGAGTGTTCCACATTGTCCTTGAGGAAGAAGATAGTAACAGCATGAATAGGAAAAGACAAAGAAGACAGCTAACCCCTACTGTTGTTTTTCCTGGTATTTGAACTCGGGGCCTCACATCCAAATGTGAGGCAGGTATTGTATCCCTGAGGTAAGCCTCCAGGCCTTTTTTGCAGTAGTTATTTTGAAATATGGTCTCATCTTTTTTCTTTTTGCCCAGGTGTGCACTTAGAGTGTGATCCAACTTTTATACTTTCTGTTGAAGCTATTATGTCTAGTGTATACCACCATATCTACCTTATTCCATTGAGGAGTCTCATGAACATTTTTTTCTCCAGCTGTAGTGCTGTGCCTACCTTTTGATTGAGAAGGGCTGGTCACATATGCCCTGCCAAATGTAGTGTTTTTCCTTTTTGGTGGTACTGGGATTGAATGCAGAACTTTGCTTGCTAAGTTGGTGCTCTGCCGCTTGAGCTATGTGTCCAGACCATTTTTATTTATTTATTTTTTTGGGTCCCGACAGCCTGGGTGCTGTCCCTCAGCTCTTCAGCTCAAGGCTAGCGCTCTACCACTTGAGCCACAGCACCACTTCCGGCTTTTTTCTTATGTGGTGCTGAGGAATCGAACCCAAGGCCTCAGGCATGCAAGGCAAGCGCTCTACCATTGAACCAACTTCCCAGCCCCACTTTTTTTTTTTTTTTTTTGAGGTGGTGTCTCATGCCTAGGCTATCCTAGGCTGTGATCCTCCTACTTGTGTTTCCTCCATAGCATAGGACAACAGGCATGCCCATCTATTATGCTCATCCATTAGTGTTGGGATGGAGTCTCATGAATTTTTTTTTTTTCTGGTTCTGGAGCTCCTTTTTCTCAAGGCTTACACTCTACCACTTGAGCCACAGCCCCACTTCAGGCTTTTTCTATGATTAATTGAAGATAAGAGTCTCACTGACATAATTTCCCAGCCTGGCTTCGAGCCTTGATCCTCAGATCTCAGCCTCCTGAATAGCTAGAATTATAGGCATGAGCCACTAGAACCCAGCTTCTCATGAACTTTTATGTCTTGGTTGACCTCAAACCAGGATTCCTAGTCTCAGTCACCCAAGATAAAGTTATAGGATTGAGACGTGGTACCTAGCTTAGATGCGAATTTTTGATAGATTATCTCTGATGAATAATGGAATTCCATGCAACTTTATGGTAGAAATTTCTATGATTTCTGCTATTTCTGTGAAAAGTCAACAATGGGATTTTGGTCAGGTCATCTGACTATATAGTTTTGTTATTTCTGCAATAGTAGATCTTTCTTCGGAGCCGGTGGCTCATACCTATAATCTTAGCTACTCAGGAGGTTGAGATCTGAGGATCGTGGTTCAAAGACAGGCCAGGCAGGAAAGTCCATGAAACTCTTACCTCCAAAAAACGACTCAGAATAAAACAGAAGTGGAGCTGTGGCTCAAGTGGTAGCACACTAGCCTTGACAAAAGGAGCTTAGGGACAGCACCCAGACCCAGAGTTCAAGGTCCAGGACTGGCAGATACATACATACATACATACATACATACATACATACATACATACATACATACATACATAACCAGGCACTGGTGGCACATGCCTGTAATTGTAGCTACTCAGGAGGCTGAGATCTGAGGACCAAGGTTCAAAGCAAGCCTGGGCAAAAAAATCTCACAAACTTTTTTTTTTGTCATTTGTGGGGCTCGAACTCTGGGACACTGTCCCTCTCAGCTCTTCAGCTCAAGGCTAGTGTTATACCACTTGAGCTACAGCACCACTTCCAGTTTTCTAGCTGTTTATTGGTGATAAGAGTCTCATGGACTTTCCTGACTGGGCTGGCTTTGAACGGTGATCCTCAGATCTCAGCCTCCTGAGTAGCTAGGATTACAGGCATGATCCACCAGTGCCCAGTGAGACTCCTTTTATTTATTTATTTTTTTGTCGGTTGTGGGGCTTGAATGCTGGGTCTGGGAGCTGTCCCTGAGCTCTTCAGCTCAAGGCTAATGCTCTACCACTTGAGCAATAACAGCATTTCTGGCTTTCTAGTGGTTAATTGGCGAGTCACACAGACTTTCCTGCCAAGGCTGACTTTGAACCAGGATCCTCAGATCTCAGCTTCTTGAGGAGCTAGGGTTACAGGCTTTAGCCACCGGCGCCTGGCTTTGTGAAACTTATCAACAATTGATCACAGAAAAATCATGAAGTAAAGCTGTGGCTCTAGTGATAGTGTTAACCTTGAACAAAAGGACCTCAGGGACAGTGCCCAAGCCCTGAGTTCAAGTCCTAGAACCAGAAAAAACAAAACAAAAAAACCCCAAATTAGATCTTTCAATACAGAAACATGAGGTCTTTTTTTGTTTACTTGTCTTCTTTAAGCAATGTTTGTGTGTGTGTGTGTGTGTGTGTGTGTGTGTGTGTGTGTGTGTGTGTGTGTGTGTGTTGTGTGTGTGTGAAGGACATAATCCCCTTCTGTTATTCTTTTTTATTTCTTTTTTATGAGAATTTGTTGTTATAAGTAGAATTTTTGTTGTCTTTTTTGGCCGGTTTTGGGCCTTGAACTCTGGGCCTGATTGCTGTCACTAATCTCCTTTTGCTCAAGGCTAGTGTTTCTACCACTTGAGCTACAGCATCACTTTCCACTCTTTCTGTGATTAGTTGGAGTTAAGAATCTGACACTTTGGGGGCTGGGAAGGTGGCTCAGTGGTAGAGTGCTTGCCTTGCATGCCTGAAGCCCTGGGTTCGATTCCCCAGCACCACAATAAGCAAAATAGAAAAAAGCCAGAAGTCACACTACGGCTCAAGTGGTGGAGCGCTAGCCTTGAGCTGAAGAGCTGAGGGACAGCGCCCAGGCCCAGAGTTCAGGACCCACGACTAGACCCCCCCCCCCCCCCCCAAAAAAAAAAAAAAAGGAATCTGACACTTTCCTGCTTAAGTTGGCTTCAAACAGTCATCCTCAGATCTCAGCATGAGCCACTGGCGCATGGCTGTTTTTATTTTATTTTCAAATTGTTTAATGCTGGCATAGACAACACAGGTAGGATTGAGATTGACATGTATTTTGTAACTTTGCTACATTTATTAACACTTTTAACAGTTTTTTTAAAATGACTTCCTTATGGCTCTCTCTCTCCTCTCTTTCTCTCTCTCTCTCTCTCTCTCTATTAGGTCATAACCTTGGTTATAGCCGAGGCCTGTGTGCCTAGGCTACTGTGATATGACTGTTTTATGCTTTCCATTGTAGGTGGGATGACAGGTGCGCTTACTATTTCCAGAATAAGGTTTCTGTTGCAGTGACAAAATACCCAAGATAGTTTAAGAGAAGAAAGATTTATTTTGGCTCTTGGTTTCAGAAGTTTCATTCCATGGTTAGTTGTCTTCACTGTTTCCACTGTGACAGTGGCTAGGTGGAACATTATAGTAGAGATTGTGTGATAGAGGAAAGATGCTCACCTATGGTAGCCAGGAAGCAAAAAAATAGATAAGAAGGGTCCAATATCTTCATGTCCCTGTTGTGAACATGCATTCACTGACCTGACTTCCATTAGGCCTTAACTTCCCAGTAGTACTATGAGCTGTGGACTAAACCTTCAACAAAGGAACCTTTGGTGTACAATCTGGATTCAAACTATAGCTCTATCTGTGAGCAGTAATATATTTGCCTTTTCAATTTGGATACCTTTATTTCTATTTCTTACTAGTGCTATGATGATGTCCAATTTATATTGAACATAAGTGGTGGAAACAGTTTTCCTTGTCTTGTTTCTGCACCATTTTTTCATGACAGCACTGAAGTTTAGGAAGATAATAGAATTCTTTGTGTTGAATCACAACTAGTTTTATTCTTTTTATGTAGTACTGAGGTTTAGACTCCTGGTTTTATCATTTTTTTTTTTTTGTTGTCGGTCGTGGGGCTTGAACTCTGGGCCTGGGCACTGTCCCTCAGCTCTTCAGCTCAAGGCAAGCGCTCTACCACTTGAGCCACAGCACCACTTCCGGTTTTCTGGTGGTTTATTGGAGATAGGAGTCTCATAGTCTCTCCTGCCCGGGCTGGCTTTGAACCGCGATCCTCAGATCTCAGCCTCCTGAGTAGCTAGGATTACAGGCGTGAGCCACCAGCGCCCGGCTTTGGTTTTATCCTTATTAAGCAGCTGCTCTACTGCTTAAGCCACTCCTCTAGCTCTTTTTACTCTGGTTACTCTTTTTTTTAGCCAATCCTGGGACTTGGAACTCAAGGCCTGGGTGCTGTCCCTAAGCTTCTTTTGCTCAAAGCACTTTGCCACTTGATCCACAGCTCCACTCTAGCTTTTAGGTAGTTTATTGGCGATAAAAGCCTCCTGGCTGGGTTTGAATTGTGATCCTCAGATCTCAGCATCCTGAGTAGCTAAGATTAATAAGTGTTGAGCCATAACACCCAGCTTCTCTTGTTCAGTTTTACTCTCTGCAGGAAAAGTGGTGGCTCTTAGTTTTATCTTGAGTTACTCTTAGTTTGTTTTATCTTGAATTCAACTCTTATGGTATGAGTTTACAAATATTTTATGGATATTCTTCAGTAGCTCTTTTTTTACAAATGAAAATCTGTTGTTAAGGTTTTCACTTCTAGATTGGTTTGTTTACCATCCTCTTCTTCCTCCCAAAGAAACTTTTATTGATAGAATTTGAATATTGTTCTGATATACGTTATTCTGGGATAGGTGGAAAGGGATAAGAATTCACTGTTGTAAGTATAACCTTTTTATTGATATCGGAGTCTCACCAGGGATATTATGTTAGCAGGGAGTTGTATATCCTTAATAATTTTAAGAAATTTGTTTTCTTTGTATGTATTAGGCCTCAGGAAAGGAGAACTGGATATGAACAGTTTCACACAGGCCCATCCCCGGTGGATCACGAGTCATTGGAATCCAAGCGACCACGTCTGGATCAGGTTTCTGATTCCCATTTTCAGCGTGTCAGTGCTGCCGTTTTACCTTTAGTACACACACTGCCAGAAGGGTTGAGGTCTTCTGCAGATACTAAGAAGGTAAATATTTGTTTTGTTGCCCTGTGGAACTATAGATCTGAAATGTTTGTTTAGCATATTCAGGCACAGCCCTAAAAGAAAATTCACTTAGGCCAGTCTCTAAAGGTTGATGCTAGGGGAAAGTAGAAGTTTCATTAGACAAAGCTAAACCATAGACTTATGTTCTAAGTTTTAAAATGAGTAATTTTGACTCTAGAGAAGTGGGGATAAAGAAAAATTTCTATTCTCTAATTGTCAAACATTTTGTACTGACTTTCTGTGGTCAGAGGTATGTAAGAGTACCTGTTTTTGTCAAATTTATATTGAACTATATAGAGGTTCCTGTAGTTTAGTAGCAATTTATTAACTTGTTATATGGGAGAAGGCACATTTTTAGTAAGGTTTATCTATAATTTTTATGTAGAAAAATTGTTCCTAATTTATGTAAGTATTTTAGAAAATTTAGAAACCATGCCAAGTTCAGTAGCTTAATTGGTTTAAAGCTTGTCTGGACATTAAAAGTGTTTTTTTTTTTTGGGGGGGTCTGGTCGTGGGGCCTGAACTTTTGGCCTGGGCGCTATCCCTCAGCTCTTCAGCTCAAGCCTAGTGCTCTACCACTTGAGCCACAGCACCACTTCCTGCTTTTTTCTTTTTGCTTATGTGCGGAGGAATCGAACCCAGGGCTCCATGCATGCAAGGCAAGCGTTCTACCACTAAGCCACCTTCTCAGCCCCATAAAAGTTCTTTTTTATCTTTAAGCAGTTGTACAAGGGAGGTGCTGTCTAACAAAATAGTTAATAAATACAATGCATCTTGATCAGTGTCACCCCCTTCTGTACATAAAAGTTTTTAAGACTCCTCCTCAACCAACAGCTGGTCATTATTACATATACCTGTTATAACAGCTCTAGAGGAAACAGTAGGAGAATCACAACCCAGACTGTTGGTCAGCCTAAGCTAGCCCATGCATGAAGTGAGAGCCTACCTGGAAAATAACCACACAAAAAGGAATGGTGTTTGAAGGTGTGGAGTGCTTGCCTAGCAAGCTTGAGGTAAATTCAATTCTTTATATTGTCCAAATAATAAAAAAAGTTATAGAGGACAAATGTTATCTATAATTCAGTCCTTTACCTATAATTCTTTTTTCTTTTTTCCAGTGCTGGGGCTTGAACTCTAGGCCTGGGCACTGAACTTGAGCTTCTTTTGCTCAAGGCTAGCACTCTACCACTTGAGCCACAGCTCCACTTCTGGCTTTTTCTGTGTATGTGGTACTGAGGAATCGAACCCAGGGCTTCATGCATGCTAGACAAGCATTCTACCACTAAGCCACATTCCTAGCCCTTTACCTATAATTCTAACATCTATAGTTCCATAGCTTGTTTGAGGGTTTTTTGATAAAAGTATGTGCATATTTCCTTATACGTTTTGATATATTTATACAAGATGGAATGATTAAGTCAAGCTAACATATCATCCTTTTAATAGTTAACCATTTTTTGTGGCAAAAATATTTAAAATTTCAGCAATATTTAACTTTATAATGCATTATTAAATATAATGCTTATACTTTACCATCACAATTAACTACTAGTATTACTATATTTTGTGTGGTTTTGAATAATGTTTATTATGAATTTATGGGAGTCTTTTTAAGGTTAAACCATTTTTCTCCTTGCACTTGTCATTATCTTTTGTGAAATATATCTGTGTTACACTTTTGTTTTGTTGCTGTGTTTATCTTTCAGTTTTTTTTTTTTGTTTTGTTTTTTGGCTGGTCCAGAGGTTTGAATTTAGGGCTATTCAGGGTGCTATCCCTGTGCTTTCGTGCTCAAGGCTAGTGTTCTACCACGTGAGCCATAACTCTTTTTGACTTTGGGAGGTTAATTGGAGATAAGAATCTCATGGAGTTTACTGTCTAGGCTGACTTTGAGGTTTGAGCCTCAGATCTGAGCCTCCTGAGTATCTAGGATTACAGGCATGAGCCACTAGGGCCCTGTACAGTTGGCATTTTTGTGTGGTACTATGATTTAAACAGTGCCTTATACAGTTGCTAGGTAGTTGTACTCCTAAGCCATGCCTCTAGCCCAGTTGTCTATTTTGCTTCCAAATTAGGAAGTCCCAAATGCTTTAATAGGAACTGAATAAATACTTGTTTTAGAAAGAATAAGCTAGTTAAAAAAACTTGTAATAGTGAAGTATTAATGTCTTTGTATATGTGTAAATGTGGTGGTAGGGGTCTTGTACAAGCTGGTGTAGTGCTCTATCCCTGAACTACTTCCTCACCCCCTTAATCTTACTAACATAATTCTTTAATTTTTAATTACACAAAATTAAAAATTTTGATATTAAATCTCTTTCCCATAAAATTTATATGTTCAGCCGGGCGCCAGAGGCTCACGCCTGTAATCCTAGCTACTCAGGAGGCTGAGATCTGAGGATCGCACTTCAAAGCCAGCCAGGGCACAAAAGTCAGTGAGGCTCTTATCTTCAATAAACCACTAGAAAATTGGAAGTGGCGCTGTGGCTCAAGTGGTAGAGCGCTTGCCTTGAGCTGAAGAGCTGAGGAACAGTGCTCAAGTTCTAAATTCAAGCCCCAGGACCAACAAAACAAAACAAAAAAATTTATATGTTCACCAATTGCCGTTTGTACTAATATAAATTAGTACATCTCCTGAGTTTTAAAAAGATAGCAAATATGTCTGTAATTATTTCCAAATAGTTCAGCCAAAAAGAAGTGTGTGTATATACAAAGAAGGAAAGATAAAATCTATGTGACAGCAAGCAAATACTTATTACAGTATTTTCCCAATAATATAAGATTTTGAGCCGGGCGCTGGTGGCTCACGCCTGTAATCCTAGCTACTCAGGAGGCTGAGATCTGAGGATCTTGGTTCAAAGCCAGCCCGGGAAGGAGAGACCGTGAGACTCCTATCTCCAATAAACCACCAGAAAACTGGAAATGGCACTGTAGCTCAAGTGGTAGACCGCTCACCTTGAGCTGAAGAGCTGAGGGACAGCGCCCAGGCCCAGAGTTCAAGCCCCACGACCGACCAAAAAAAAAAAAAAGATTTTGAAATCATGAGTTGAATGAGGACAAGTTCTTATGATAAACTAGGAGTTAACTAAACTATTGAAGATTTTGAGGCACACTTCACCATGTAAAATGGAGTTTGAAAAAAATGTTTCACTAAAAGAAAAATTCAGCTAGGTCTTGGTTCCTCATGCCTGTAATCTGAACTACTAATGAGGCTAAATATCTTGGTTTGAAACTAGTTTGGAAGAAAAGTCCATGAGATTCTTTGCTAGTTATTTTAGTCAGGCATAGGGCTTGAACTCAGGGCCTAGACTCTGTTCTTAGCTTTTTCATTCAAGGATAGTGCTCTATTACTTCAGCCACAGCTCCGTATCTGACTTTTTGATGGTTAATTGGAGATAAGAGTCTCACAGACTTTCCTGCCTGGGATGGCTTTAAACTGTAGTCCTCAGATCTCAGCCTCCTGAGCAGCTAGGATTACAGGTGTAAGCCACCAGCAGCTGCTCCATGAGGCTTCATATCTCCAGTTAAACAGCAAAAAGCTGATTCAGGAGGTGTGACTTAATTGTTTTGTGTGTAGTTTAAAAAGCCCACTCATATTAAAAAGCCCACTCTTCTATTCTGTTCAACACTGTTTGTTTACATGTATACTGAGGTTTTGGTTTAGTGTTAAGTAATAACAATAAATATTTGTTTTAGGGTTCATTTGGTATTTTATATATAAGTACAAATTTATTTGGTCATTTGCCAAACATGTAGGTTGTTTATAAGTATATTGTTGTGAGATTACATTATTTTGGCTAGTTTTTTTGATTCATAATTTTAATCTCTTAAGTTAAATTCTTGCTAATATAATTAATAATAGGTCAGAGTTTATAGTGTGTGTGTGTGTGTGTGTGTGTGTGTGTGCGCGCGCGCACGTGCGTGCGTATGAGTGCACGGCCCCCTGGTACTAGGCTTGAATTTAGGGCCTGACTCTGTCCTTTAGCTTTTTTACTCAAGGATAGTGCTCTACCACTTCAGCCACAGCTCAATTTCTGACTTTTTGATGGATAATTGGAGATAAAATTCCCATAGGCTTTCTTGCCAGGGCTGGCTTTGAGCAATGGATTCTCAAATCTCAGCCTCCCAAGTACTAGAATTACAGGTGTGAGCCACTGGTGCCTGGCAAGTTGACACATTTTTAAGGCTTTCTGTGACCATTTCTAGATTGCCTGGAAAAAGAGTATAAGAAATTCTTTTTCCAGTAGTGGTTAAAGGTTTCTGCTTTCCTGTCCTTGCTGATATCTTTTTCTTAGGAGAAAAAGCGCCTCTATTCATTTGATAAAATTGTTTTTAACTTGGACTTACTTTATTAGTAAAATTTATAACATTTTTTAGTTATTCATCTTGATTGTTACGTGAATATGTTTAGTCATTTTTTGCTTTTTGTTGGATTGTTTTTTGAGTTTTTTGATTTATATTTTGTTAGTGGTTTTCTTCACAATTTGTTTCTTAAATTTGTTATTCCCATTTGGATAATTAGGGCATTATATTTTTTATTTGATCAGTGCTTTTGTTAAAAAAGTATTTTTCACTGTATTGAGGTTTGAGTTCAGGGCCTCATTTTTTCACTCAACTTTTCCCAGGAAAAAACAAAGACCCAAACAAAGGAAATTGGAGCAACAGAGGCTGGAAGTCTGCCCCAAGCTGCCGTGACCTAGCAGTAACTCAGGACCCAAACAAAAAAATTTTTTTTCAGAGTTCTTGGGAACAAATTGTCATATACAAAAGCCTTCACAATATATGAATGTCTATGAAAGTTAATTTAGTGTTTATTTTTGCAAGTATTAGTTGATTTAGTGGATTTAGAAATTGTTTTGCCTTTCATGGTGATGTTTGCCTGTTGAAAAGATACATTTTTCACTGTATTTTTGTTTACAAAATTGATCTGTACACCTTAAATCTCATTTGTTTGTTTGTTTTACCAGCCTCAAATGCACAGCCGTTAGTGCTCACTTGGCTTTTTTAGTACACTGCAGGCCTTGTAGTATTTGAGCCATGCTTTGAGTTCTAGATTTTTTTCTGGAAGAATCTCTTAGATATATCTCCCTAGGCTTTCTCTAAATCTCAGCCCCCTGAGCAGTTATGATTATAGGTGAACCATTAGCACTTGGCTCCAAATCCAATTTTTTATTTCAAATATATGTAATTTTTATTCTGGAAGCCAGAAACTTAAAAGAATTTACATTTTAAGTCTTGGGTTCAAGCGGGGCGCCAGTGGCTCACGCCTGTAATCCTAACTACTCAGGAGGCTGAGATCTGTGGATCATTGTTCAAAGCCAGCCCAGGCAGGAAAGTTAAGACTCTTATCTCCAATAAACCACTCAGAAAACCAGAAGTGGTGCTGTAGCTCAAGTGGTAGAGTGCTCACCTTGAGCTGAAGAGCTGAGGGACAGTGCCTAGGCCCAGAGTTCAAGCCCCACCACTGACCAAAAAAAAAAAAAAAAATGTCTTGGGTTCAAGGCTTTCAGACTAGGCTAAATGCAAATTCTGGAAGTCTATTACAGTTTCTTTGTCACATCACTAATGCTTTACAGTTATATAACTATAATCTTGTCCCAGAAGTCCTTTAATATTTAATCTGCCTGCTGTTATAGGATATAAAGCTTTTAGCAATATGCATGTTATATTTTAGCTGAAATATCTGTACCAAAGTAATTAAGAACAACTATGTGTTCCTATGTGCATTCTTGGTTCAGAATTACTGATTTTTCACAGCTAATATTTATTTAATATCTTTTGTAATTAATTAACCTATTTTATAATATATAATCCTAATATCCATCTTCATTCTAAGATTATCATAGCCTAAAGGAAATTAGTGCCTTTGTCTAAAATTTATGTGCTATAAGCTTAGCCTGGAAATAGTGTCTGTGTGCTGCATAGTAGATTTAAAAAATTAAAAAAATTTATTATTATAAAAGTGTACAGAGGGGTTATAGTTGTGTAAGTCAGATAAAGAGTACATTTCTTTTTGTATACTTTCATCTTGGATAGTAGATTCTGAGTGCAGAGATATTCATCATATTGCATATCACTCCTGAGGTTTGGTTGAATGGTTTGAAGGTTCTTTTGTGTGTGTGTGTGTATGTGTGTGGTGGGAGGATGGATTTTTGCTAAAGGGATATTATATGTGCTATACTAGCCTGAATTGTCTTTTATGAAGGTAGCTCAGAGATTGTAGCAGCAGAATCTTAGGTCATTCCTGTGATTTCTGTGCCTAGTATTGGTCCTTGAAAATCCTGAAAAATTTTGTTTTTCTTGTTTTGGTTGTTATTTCAGGGCCTTACAAGCTATGATGGGCTTTATCACTGAGCTACATCCCCTGCCCCACAAACTTTTGGCCATATCATAGCTGCTAATTTGGGTCTACCTAAAAAATTTTATTTAGAATAGCAGTATTTTCTAGCATACTTGATGAAACCAAAAGAGCCATTGCAGTTAAATGGCTGAGAACTTGTTATCTTTCTGTTATGACTGCACTATTATTTTTCTCCAGAAATTCTCTGTAGTGTATTGTTACATTAAAGACTGGTCAACCATTTGGCTGGGTTAGACACTGTAATTTTTAGGGTCTTCAAATAGTGAACGATATACCTAAACTATGAGAATGCAGGAGATGTATATAATGTGTTTGTATGTTAGTATAAAAATTGCTAATAAAAACTACTATTAGAGAAACAGTGCACATGATTCTCTAAGCTTAGGACTTCACACGTGCTCACCTGGAATTCTACCATTTGGTCTATACCTCCAATGCTTCTTTTGTGTTTGAAAATTTACTTTTTCAGTTAATACTTTATCTCTGACGTTGGTTGGTAGTGAGAAATAAATGGTTGTCCTCAGTTTTTTGTTCTTTTTTTTTTTTTTTTCTTTAAAGGATCCAGCATTTGGAGGAAAACATGATGCTCCCTCTTCTCCAATTGCTGGGCAACCATGTGCAGATGATCAAAATGCTTCACCTTCAAAGCTTTCAAAGGAAGAGTTAATACAGAGTATGGATCGTGTTGATCGAGAAATTGCAAAAGTAGAACAGCAGATCCTTAAACTGAAAAAGAAACAAGTAGGTGTTTTTCTATTTAGCATATTCTACAATGTGTCTCTCCAGTGAAGTTAGTTTTATCCATTTTTCCTGGTATATTGTCTGATTATATGATCTTTAACTGTACTAGATGACCCCCAGTTTGCTTAGGTTGTAGTACAGTTTATGTTCCACTGGCAGCATTTATATCTATGCATATCTTTATTGTTTTGTCTTTTTCATTTGAATATGAAATAGTTCTTAATGTGTTTTAATTTGCCTTTGCTTGATTGAGAGTGAGGTTCAGTTTAATTTTTTTCCATTTTGATTTATTTTCACTTCTTAGGTGTATTATTTAAGTCTTCTTTCATATTGTTTCCTAGACTTTACTGTCAGTATGTATAGAGTATATATTGTCTAATTTTTGGCTTGTCATTTAATTTTTTTCAGCAGCCTTTTTGAGGGAAGAATTCTAGCTAAAAAAGAATTCAAAGAATTCAAAACAACGAATTCAAAGCTAAAAAAATTATTTTTTAAGAGATGGGGGTCTCATATTGCTGAAGTTGGCTTTGAATTCCTGTCTCAGTTCCTACGTAGCTCAGAGTACATTCTGTTACGTTTGGCTCAACAGCGGATTATTTAAAACATTGAGATATATTCATAGATGATAGTGTTTAGCCTTTCAGAATGTACAATTAAGTGTATTTTGTATTAGATATATTCATGTAGATAGATTCTATCATTACTAGTTCTGGAACATATTTTTCAAAATGAAACTTTACATCTGTTAGTCTTTTTTAAAAAAAATTTTCTCCATGATTTGCCTATTGTTGACATTCAGATCAATAGAATCCTTTTCTGACCTTACCATGTTAGGCTTCATTTATTTGGCATGTTATCAAGGTTCATCCACATTGTATCTTGAATCATTTCTTCTTTAAATTTTTATTTATCAGTTAGTTGATGGGCATTGGGTTATATCTTTCAATTATTTTGATAATGCTGTTCTGATATTCATGTACTTCGTTGTGTGGAAATTCGTTTTCAAAATCTTCTTGGATGTATATCTTTGTTTTGGAGGGGGGAGGCGGTCCTGAGGCCTGAACTCTGGGCCTAGCCGCTGTCCCTCAGCTCTTTAGCTCAAGGCCTAGTGCTCTACCACTTGAGCCACAGCACCACTTCCGGCTTTTTTCTTTTTGCTTATGTGGTGCTGAGGAATCGAACCCAGGGCCTCATGCATGCAAGGCAAGCACTCTACCACTGAGCCACCTTCCCAGCCCTACACCATGTTTTTTTGAGAAACAAAAGCAATCTTTTTCTTTATGCCCTGGCTGATACTGTTACTGTTTTCTCTCCACTTCCTATGTAGTTGAGTGAGCTCCACAATGCCAACCTTTTTTCATGGCTATAAGGGTGTATATATACATATATGATTTTAGATCCTCATCAGATAATGACTTGAAGATGTCTTCTCATTCTGTATGTTGTCTTGCACTACCAGATAGTATGGAAAAGTTTTTAATTTTTTGGAGTCTAATTTTTCTTTTAACACTTTGTGTATGTGCGTGTATGCGCATGGTGGGGCTTGAATTCTGGGCCTGGTTGTTGTCCCTGAGCTCTTCAGCTCAAGGTTAAGTGCTTTACCACTTTGAGCCACAGAGCCACTTCCGGTTTTCTGGTGATTAATTGGAGATTTGGAGATAAGAGTCTCATAGACTTTCCTTTCCGGGCTGGCTTTGAAACGAGATCCTTAGATCTCAGCCTCCTGAGTAGCTAGAATTATAGGTGTGAGCCACTGGCACCTGGCTTAACACTTTTTCTTTTACACTTATATTTATGTATGGCAATGTACTGTATTATCTTACAAGTTGTATACTTATGCTCACAATATTTAGTCCACTGGTAATTGATTTTTTTCATCTGCTTCAAGGTAGAGGTCATAATTTTTTATTTATTTTTTTTTTTGGTTGCTGGTCTTAGGGCTCAAACTCAGGGCCTGGATTCTATCTCTGAGCTGTTTTTTGCTCCAGTCTAGTGCTGTACCACTTGAGCCACAGCTCTACTTGTGGCTTATTTTGGTAATTGATTGGGCATAGGAGTTGGATGACTTTTCCTGGTTGGGCTGGTCTTGAACTGCAATCCATAGATCTCAGCCTCTTCAGTAGTTAGGGTTGCAGACATGAGCTACCAAAGCTTAGCTTTTTTTTTTTTTTTCCTTGTATTGGTAGTTAATTAAAAAGACTATTCCTTCTTCACTTGTTCTGCAGTGTGACTATTTTTACAGTTCATGTTTGCATCTGTAAGTGGATTGATTTCTGGTCTTTGTGTTTGTATCTATTGATCTCTTTGTAGTATTCAGAAATTACTAGTCATTTATAATAATTCTTTTCCAGTTTGATAAGCCCACTTCCATAAGCATAATTTAGCTTTTTTTTCTTTTTCTTTTTTTTAATCCATTGTGGGGCCTGAACTCTGGGCCTGGGAACTGTCCCTCCGTTCTTCAGCTCAAAGCTAGTGTTCTACCACTTGAGCCACAGTACCACTTCTGGCCTTTTCTGCTTATGTGGTGCAGAGGAATCGAACCCAGGGCCTCATGCATGCAAGGCAAGCACTCTAGCACTGAGCCACCTTCATAGCCTTAGCTTCCCCCCCCCCCCCCCCCTATACGGGTTCTGGGGCATGAACTCAGCCTGGGCTCAAAGCTAATGCACTACCACTTGGGTTACACCTTTACTTCAGCTTTTTAGTTTTAATTGGGGAGAAGAGTCTCAAGAACTTTACTGTCTTGGCTGGCTTTCAACTTGGACTCAGCTTCCTAAGAACCTTGGATTGCAGGCATGAGCTGCTGGCATCCAATGTAATTTAGCTATTTGAAAAATGTATATATTTCATATAATATTTAGGATCGTATTGTTTGATTTTCAAAAAATCTTGCTAGATTTCCCCGCCCCCCCCCCCCCCCCCCGCCCCCCATCCTGGGGCCTGAACTAGGGGCTTGGGCACTGTCCCTGAGCTTCTTTTGCTCAAGGCTAGTACTCTACACTTGAGCCATAGTATCACTTCCGGTTTTTTTCTGTTTATGTGGTACTGACGGATCGAACCCAGGGCTTCATGGAAGCACTCTGTTACTGAGCTACATTCTCAGCCCTCTTTCTGGAATTTTATGGAGCTATGTAGAATTAGAGAGACCATTTTTGAGGGAATGATATCTTTATGCTATCATGTTATCCAATCTATGAATATGATGCCTCTTTTTTTAGAAAGTTTTTCATATTTTATTTTTTGTTAATAATTTAATGCTTTGGTTAGACTTAGCCTTAGGCACTTCCTTTTTTATGCCATTGTTAATACTTTTTTTTTTTTTTTTTTTTTGGTCGGGGCCTGAACTCTGGGCATGGGCGCTGTCCCTCAGCATTTCGGCTCAAGGCTAGCGCCCTACCACTTGAGCTACAGTGCCACTTCTGGCTTTTTTCTGCTTATGTGGTACTGAGGAATCGAACCCAGGGCCTCATGCATGTGAGGCAAGCACTTTACCACTGAGCCAACTTCCTAGCCCCCATTGTTAATACTTTTCTTTTCTTTTTTTTTTGGAGTGGGGGGGTCTGGTCATGGGACCTGAACTCTGGGCCTGGGAGCTGTCCCTCAGCTTTTCAGCTCAAGGCTAGCTCTTTACCACTTGAGCCACAGAGCTACTTCCGGCTTTTTTTTTTTCTTTTTGCTTATGTGGTGCTGAGGAATTGAACCCAGGGCCTCAGGCATGCAAGGCAAGCGCTCTACCACTGAGCCACCTTCCCAGCCCCAAATTGTTAATACTTTCATTTTATTTTATTATTATTATATTTTGGGTCTGGTCGTGGGGCCTGAACTCTGGGCCTGGATGCTGTCCTTCAGCTCTTCAGCTCAAGACTAGTGCTCTACCACTTGAGCCATAGCGCCACTTCCGGCTTTTTTTCTTTTTGCTTATGTGGTGCTGAGGAATCGAACCCAGGGCCTCATGCTTGCAAGGCAAGTGCTCTACCACTGAGCCACCTTCCCAGCCCTGTTAATACTTTTAAAGTTACCTTTTTATTTTGTATTTCTGAGTATTGAGATCAAAGCGCTCTACCACTGAGCCACCTTCCCAGCCCCAAATTGTAAATACTTTTAAAGTTACCTTTTTGTTTTGTATTTCTGAGTATTGAGATCAGGGTCTCATTTTTAAAAGGCCAGAACATAAAAGTGTTTTTCCAATAACATCTAAAGGCCATTGTGATAGAGGTCCATAGGTAACTTCATTAAGTTTAGTTTCTCTTAATGTTTTGCTTTAAATATGTCAAAATTTAAATACTAAAAATTATTTCCCTTTACCTTTATGTGTGTATATCTATTTTAGGTTGTTTTGTGTTTTTCTGTTATTAGTTAAAATGAATGTTTTCCTTTGAGCTCTTGGTTCCCTGAGATTCTCATAGATTAAGTCATTACCTCATAGAATCAGCAATCAAAGTTTGGGACCCTGTGTTATCTCTAGCAGTTAATTACTGGTAGGGGGTGATGTGCCTAGATGTCTGACTCTTCTTTTCCGGGTCTCTTAGCAACAGCTTGAAGAAGAAGCAGCTAAACCTCCTGAGCCTGAGAAGCCTGTGTCTCCTCCTCCAGTGGAGCAGAAACACCGCAGTATTGTCCAAATTATTTATGATGAGAATCGGGTAAGCTTACTCTGTCTCTGTCAGCACAGGCTGTTAAACCCTCTTGACTACCTTTTCTGTTTCTAAACAAATTATAGTTATATTAAGACCTGATTTCCAATTTATGTTACATATTATACAAAAATTAAGAGTAGGACTTAAGTAATTATACTGTTAAATACTGATAAACAAGTTTGATGGCACATAATATAAAACCTTCTATTCATAAACATTTAATACCAAAGCCTAATAACTTTTCAATTCAGATAGGCCTTTGCATCTGGAAATGAACTTCATCATTATCGTCTTCTAATTATTATTGATGCCTGGGCTATGGTTGAATTTTAGTGAATTTTAGTTTAGGTAGTCATTGAAGTTCAGTTAGACTTTTAGTTAAATCAGTCTCTTCTTTTCATATTCTTAGTTAAAAATACTTATGGATTTAGGAAAATCTGGCCTCAATTTCAGGAATTATTTTAGTAACAGTTTCTGGCAGACCCTGGCTCAAAAACTACCAGTTAAAGGGAAAACTGATTTCACCCCAATGTTAAGAAAACATTTTATCATATCTGATAGGCAGTGTGCTTCCAGAAGTCCTCAATAGGCTTTAAGTATTATGGGAGAGAATAGGCTTCTTACTTAAAGGTGATCAGCAGTAGAAAGTTGGGATTGTTTATTTTTTAGGGAGTTGACTTACCCGAATTGATTTTTTTTTTTTTTTTTTTAACACAGCCTATTACATAGCAGCCAAATCTGAAAGGTATTTGCCTGAAGAAAAGCAAATGTTGGTAGGGAATAACTTAGTGGTAGAGTATCTGCAAAAAGCCCAGTTATCTATTCCTAGGTCCCGGAGGGCAGGGTGGGGTTTGGGTGGGGCTAATAGGGGCAGGGGGAAGAAAGTGGGAGGGAGGACAAAAAGCCACTGATGGGAAAAGCCTAGATTCAGATATATGTATGTATGTATGTATGTACGTATGTATATATGTATGTATGTGTGTGTTTGTGTGTGTGTGTGGAGAGAGAGAGAGTGAGTGAGAGTGAGTGTTTGTGTGTAGGTAAATATATAATTAGGGTCATCAGATATATAATAGTTGTATTAAGTGCCATGGGCAGGTTAAAATATAGGCAATTAATAGTACCCTGGTTGGGCTCAAAATTGATCCAGTTTATTAAATAACTGGAATGATACAATGAAGATAAATCCAATGAACGTAGAAGGCATTAAGGGGCCTAAATGAGGACTGCCCCCTCATGTCATACCTTAAGGGAAGATATAGCCATGGGTAGATAGTTGCTCCCCTGCTTGGAACAACATAGAAATAAAAGGTTTTGTGTGAAATCTCTGATTGGCTTGAATTCAGGACCTTAAACGCTAGCTTGACTTTCTTGCTCATGTCTGACACACTTATACTTGAGCCATACCTCCAGTCTACAATTTTGCTGCTAAGAGATGGAATTTCACAGATTTTTCTGCCTAGGTTGAGGTTCTCCAGTTCTCAGCTTCCCTAGTAGTTAGGATTATAAGTATGTGCAGTGTATACCTGGTTCAAGATTTTACATTTTATAAAAAGTATTTTGTTTTTTGAAGTATGAGGTAACAACTTGGATTCAGTGATACTTATTGATCAATTTATTTTATTTTACTTTATTTTATTTTATTTTATTTTTGTCGGTCATGGTCCTGAACTCTGGACCAGGGCACTGTCCCTTAGCTCTTCAGCTCAAGGCTGAAGTGGCTCTACCACTTGAGGCACAGTGCTACTTCTGGCTTTTTTCTGCTTATGTGGTGCTGAGGAATCAAACCCAGGGCCTCATGCATGCAAAGCAAGCACCCTACCACTGAGCCACCTTCCCAGACCTGATTGAATTTTTTTAGGGAGCTAAGGAGGGATAGATAACTGAGGGCCTTGCATATGCTAGGTAGATAGTCTACCATTAAGCTATTCTCCCAACCACGATGAGCCTATGCTACAAAGATCAACAGTTCCTATACTAGTGAATTCTTTGGTTGCCTTATTGAGATATGAAGACTGAAAACTATTGAACATGATTTGATAGAGAAATTACTTATATAGTACCTTCATTAGATAGTGAAGTGTGTGTGTGTGTGTGTATGCACACACACACATATATATATATCACATATATATATCACACACACACACACACATACACACACATAGTTTTTTTCTTTTTACATAGTACTGAGACTTGAATTACAGGTCCTTGCTTAGCCCTTGCTTAGCTTTTTTGCTTAAGGCAGGTGCTTCCAGTTCACTAATACTTACAGTTCTGGCTTTTTTGCTGTCCAATTGGAGATAAGTGTTTTATGGACACTGCTGACCAGGCTGGCTTGGAACTGTAGCCCTCAGATCTCAGTCTCCTGAGTAGCTAGGATTATAAACATGAATGTTTCTTTTTTATTGTTCATTTTATAAAGAAAGGGAAAATGAAAATTGAAATCTTAGTCATATAGTTACCTTTTTAAAAGTTACCTTTACAAAGTTGTATAAAGGGGTTTAAATTCAACATGTCTGTTTATGAGTAGAAAACTTCTTAATCAGAGTCACCCCTGTCACCATTCTTCCCTGTCAGTTACCTTCTTATAGTGGAAAGTCTTCTTTTTAAAGAAAGCTTTTTAGCTCAAAATAACTGTAAGAAAAGCATGAGCGAAAAAGATTGTTTTTTTCTGCTTTCATAAGTATACCCTGCTGTTACTCAATTACTTCTGCTACACTTTTGCATTCCTAGAATGGTAGCTTGGTTTCCTGGCTTGTAGGAAGATGAAGGCTCAGCTATGTCTACAGCATAGTTCTTTACTGCTTGCTTTGCAGTGCTCTTCCTTCCTTACTATGTTGCCTCTTAAATATAAGGTCTCCACTGCTTGTTTAGCTTTTATTAATGACTTGACTTATTTATTTCCATACCATTGACTGGAGAGAGGAGATAATGACAAAAATACATAAGGAATTAAGCCCAGTGTGGCTTAAGTGGTAGCAGCCATTATCATTTGTATGTCTTTCTTTTATTTAGAAAGTTAGTAGGAGGAAGAAAACTGCTAAAAAGAGAATACTAATTTTAAAGTTGGCTCCCTGAGAGAAAAGTTGGCTTGGTTCCAATTTAAACTTCAGACTAAGTTTGTTTAGTCTTTAAACAGACTATTCTCCTGGACTATTTTTTAAGTTTGATTTTTTTTTAAATTTCTCTGCTCAGTTATAGCCTTCAGAAATATTTGTAAGTGCTCTAATTTCATAATAATAATATGTACAGACATTGGTTGTTAGATTTTAGTGGAGAAGTTTTTAGAAATACCTTTTTGTATTTTGATTGGATGATTTGCAAGAGAATGTGGCACCAGAGAAAAGGAAGAGGTTGATACAGAATATGTTTTGTGTCAACAGTCACTAGACACCCAGGCCAGGTGAATTGCCTGTTTTTCTCTGTCACTGAAAAATATCATTAAAAAAAATTTTTTTTTTGTGGCAATCCTGAGGCTTGAACTCAGGGCCTGGGTGCCATCCCTGAACTTTTTTTTTTTTAAGTTTTTATTGTAAAAATACCATACAGAGCCATCCCTGAACTTTTTTGCACACAGCTGGTGCTCTACCACTTGAGCTATAGATCTACTTCCAGCTTTTTGGTTGTTCATTGCATATATAAGAGTCTCTTGGACATATCTGCCTGGGTTGGTTGGCTTTGAACTGTGTTCCTCAGATCTCAGCCTCCTAAGTAGCTAGTATTGGAAATGTGAGCCTCAAGTGTCCACCCATTAACTTTATTTAAAGTTTTCTTCTTACATAATTGCAGAATTTCCTTCTTTTAGTCTTTATTTTCTTTCTAACCTATCTTTGTCATTCCATATATCAAGTATTACTCCAAACAAAATCCTTTGATTATTCCTCAGTTGGTACAGAATAGCTAAAACTAGCTACCTGTCTACCCTTGCCCTAAAGTTCCTTTCCTAGAGATATCCTACCAGAACAAATCTTTTTTGTTTTGTTTTGTTTTATTAAATTACTATTTTTAAATGGTTGTACAAAGGGATTTCAATTCAACAATCAGTTTATGAGTATAATGCATTTTGATCAATGTCACCTCTTCAGTTGAAGAACAGCTGTTCACCCTTCCCCAAAACTGGTTTTGAATGGTTCCATAATGGTTTTTAGTTCCTTTCTCCCACATTGTTGCCTTAGCCTTCAAACTGTTCATTGCTTTATCTTTTTTATCTGTGGGGCACATTCATACTTAAGACCCAGCTCAAATATCATTATCTTTAACACCTTTCACTGTTGATAGTGATTATGATTAAATTGTTTATTATTTTCTTAATGTCTGGGAGGTACCTGGCACAGAGAACACATTCAAATTTGAAGAATTAATTACTTAAATTTGTAGGCAATAAAAATTGTATAGCACAATTTTTGTATGTATTGTTGTTTTGTTTTTTTTTGTTGTTGGTGGTGGTGGTACTTAAGATTGAACCCAAGGCTTTGTCACACTGTCTAAACTGAGCTTCATCCTTTGTCTGCCAGTTGATAGGTTAATTGGTTCCTAGCCAGGAACTGATCATTATTTACTTTTGAAAAATTCATGGTAATTTTATAATTTAGTTTATTTTGTACTGAGTTGAATAAAATTAAGTCTTTGTTGTTCTGCAGTGTACTTGTAACTAGAAAGTAAGTTCATGATGATCTTCAGTCAGATCACTCTCGTTTACCACAGTAAGACTGGCCACTTTATGGTATTTTGTTTTTAAATTTTTATTAAAGACAAGCATGACTTATGGGGGCTTTATTTCTAGTAGAAAATCTCTATTCTGTTTCTCTAGATTTTAATAAGTGTTTAAGAACTTTCCAATTCTTTAGGCATTGTTCTTACTGCAGTTATTAAGCTTTGATTAAATTTGGTAAGGAAAACTATTAAAATTACAAATGTATTATGCCTGAACTCAGGAGGCTGAGATCTGAGGATTGTGGCCCAAGCAGAAAAGTCTATGAGACTCTTTTCTCTAATTAACCTGAAAAAGCTGAGGGATAGCACTCAGGCCCTGAGTTCAAGCCCCAGAATTGGCAGTAAAAATTTAAAAAATTAGAACATGTTTCAGCCTGTTATATAAAAGAATAATATTGGAAATAAGGATGTTTAATTATAGATTAGTTGTAGATAAATATTTTTAAATAGGTAGTAATTCTTTCAGGTAACGTTTTAATTAAATAATATTAACAACATCTTTATCCATAGAAAAAAGCAGAAGAAGCTCATAAAATTTTTGAAGGTCTTGGCCCAAAAGTTGAATTGGTAAGTAAGAAATTTATTTTCTTGTTCGTAATTACCCTCCCCCCCTTTTTTATTGTTGGTCTGGGGCTTGAACTCTGGGCCTGGACGCTGTCCATGCACTCTTCAGCTCAAGGTGAGCACTCTACCACTTGAGCCACAGCGCCACTTCTGGTTTTCTAGTGGTTTATTGGAGATCAGGGTCTCACGGACTTTTCTGCCTGGGCTGGCTTTGAACCATGATCCTCAGATCTCAGCTTCCTGAGTAGCTAGGATTGCAGGCGTGAGCCACCGACGCCCAGCCTAATGCCCCCCTTTTTTTGATATCAGTAGTAGCTTTTCTTGGGGTAAAATGGAATATGACTCATTTATTTTGGAATGAGAAGGATATAGCTTGGGCAGACAAAGTTTGTGATAAAGTTTAATATAACAGCAAATAAATTTGGTTTACTTTTGCAGAAACATCCTGAGCGTGTGTTCATTGAGCTGGCACATGGAATCCTTTAAGATAAAAGGAAAAAATATTGATAGAAAATTCTTTATGCCATACTTTCAGAACAATAAATGTGTGATCTTTTCCTTTGAAATAAAATGAAATCTATGAGTAATCATATTCATTATAGGACATAGTTTGCAAACTTTCTTAGAGAAGTGGAAATTTTAGGAGATGGAATTATTCAGGAACCCCAGAAGTCTGAAGGTTTTGGCAGGGCATGTTATTATATTGAAGATCAGGTACGACTAGGCTTAAAATGTTGATTTTAAGTGGGGCACTGGTGGCTCAGACCTGTAATTCTAGCTAAATAGGAGGCTGAGATGTAAGGAACACAATTTGAGGCCAACAGGCAGGAAAGTCCAGTTCATGAGACTTAATCTCCAGTTAGCCACCAGAAACTTGGAAGTGGAAACTGGAAGTGTGACTCAAGTGATAGAGCACTAGCCCTGAGCAAAAAAGTTCAGGGACAGCACCCAGGCCCTAGACCAGCACACAAAAAAAGTTTATTGTATGTCTCTTCTTAGACATATGTATAACATTTTACACAGAATATGTGGTTTATTTTACAGCCACTCTATAACCAGCCATCAGACACCAAGGTTTACCATGAGAACATCAAGACGTAAGTATTTATCATCTTTGGAGTTCTCCTGTTAAAGACCATATATTCTATAAAGAGATCATTTTTATGTTATCTGCTGACATTATAACATAATGTAGATGTGTTTAGATTTGTGTAATTTGCTGTCATTTTTTACTATATGTTATCTTCCTCTGGCTTCTTGGGGGTTGGGGTAACAGCTTTGAGTTTCCGAGGCCAAAAAGTGAAATAAATTATTGCATAAAACTAGCTGGTTTTATAATCTGCTAGTAAAAAAGGTGAATACTTAAAATTGAAATGGCTTACCTTGAGGCTTGAATTTTTTGCCTCCTGTTTTGTCTTTTTTTCAGTGGAGTACCTGCAAGGCGCATGATGAAGTAAGATAATGAAGCTTTTTCATTTAAGACTAGTGATGACACCGTCCCCCACCAAGCCACATCTGCCATTGCAAAGTAGAAGTGCCACGGATCATTTTATCATTATTCAAAATCCTATTCTAGGGAAATCCCTTCCATGACTCTTTCTAATGACGGTATTTGTAGATCCTTCTGCCATTTAATGTCCTGGTGCCTTGGAAGGCTCAGTCACCTCATGTCGGTGAGGAGGCTGCTCCAGAATGTAGTTTGCTCAGCCTTACTCATCCTAGTACCAGGTCTTTATGGATGCAGATCTTGGAATAAGAAAATAAGTGAAAAGAAAACTTAATTTCTTGATCTGATTGAAGAGAGGAACCTAGATAGGTATCTTTTTTTTTTTTTTAAAGTATCGTACTTTAAGAACATTTTCGTTGAATTATTCTTACTTGGTGACAAATGTGATATTTCTCTTACATGTTTTATTAAATATAACTGATTACTAATGAGCACATGGCTATATATATATTCTAAGAGTGTGTGCAATAGTTAACTACTTTGCAGAACTGGTGGCAAATATAATTTGCATGGTAGTGTGCATGAAAATCATTGAATTGGAATTTAAACTTTTGTTAAGTAAGTAGTTATAAACGTCACATATGAAGAATTTTTCTGTGAGATGCTACTCTGGTCTCAAGAATCATTAGGAATAGATTAGGCTAAAACTTGTAAAATATGTCTTGTTTAAGAATTGTTTTTAACTGTTTAAATCTTTTTTTTTTTTTTAAAAGAATAATAGATAAAACTTAGTTGGTTACTTTCAGTGACTTTTTTTTTACCCCCATAAAGCTTTGGTTATGTTTGTGTTTTGTCTTTTCCCTCTTATAATTTGAAGAGCAGCTCTGTCCTTCATTTATTTCATGTTATCCACATTATGTAGTTAGTGCTTGTCATACTGTCCTCAGGGTGGTACTGACTACTATGACTTCACTTAAATTCTTTTGAAGCATTTAAAATTACTTTTATTGATTGTCATTTGCTTTAGTTTAGAACATAATTAGAATTAGAGCAAATTGAATATATGCTTTCACAGTACGTTGTCTTTTGGAATATTTACTCAGCTGTGTGCATATATATTAAGTCATTCTGTAGCTATATTCTTTAAGTATCGTCATTTGCTTTGTATGAAATAGCAAATGTACCTTTTAATAATTCTTTTCATCTCTTGGTTACGTTACTCTTTTATATGGCCATCTCCTAATTGTCCATGCTTATTTGAGTATAACCAGTGCCAGTGTTAAGTCTTGAGTGACAGATGATTCAAAAAACTGCTTCTATGTGCCTTGGCTTTCTATTTATATTTGAATAATAAGCTTGAAATCATTTGGACGTCGGTGGGGTGTAAATATTTATATTTGAAACCTGCATGTCACTGTTTTTGAAGATCACAGTGCTTCCAATTTAAAAAATTTAAAATTGTTAAGCTATAGTGGAAATCTTCCTGTCATATATGCCCTCCATTATTTCTAAGAGTGGGTTTGTAATAGAGGAAAATCTTATGTTTAAAGCAGAAATTGCTTCTCTCTAAATGTGTTGTTGTACATTATTTTTATAATAGAGAGGCCAGGGCCAGCTCCTTACTTGAGTAGGGAGGTACCTGTAAAACTTCTTTTCCCTTTACCTTCATTTCCTCTAAGTATCCATTGCTAGAGTTCTTAAAAAGAATAAGTGACTATATAATTTGAGAATAAAAATATGTTATAACTATGTGTATTAATTAAAAGTTAGCTGTATTATCTTTGTGTAGAATGGGAAGATTTTTAGTCAATTATAATTATTGCAAAAATTATAGTCTTATTTTGCAGGTTGAAAAAATTAAGATTAACTTTGATTGCATCATAAATTCTTAAGTGATCTTTGCCTGTTTGCCAGTGTCTCTGGAAAAAAAGTAACTGCAGCATTAAATTGGGCTTTTTCTTAATGTTATGCAACCATATTTTTCTCTTCTAGAAACCAGGTGATGAGGAAAAAACTCATTTTATTTTTTAAAAGAAGAAATCATGCAAGAAAACAAAGGGTGAGGTCCTATCCTTGTTAACTGCAATTTGTACAGCCTTCCCATTCATGCTCATTTAGGCATTCACTTTCCCCTTAATTATTAGTCTTTGATTATATTGAGAACAAATGCTGATTTAAAAAGTGATAGTAAATGTGAATTGAATGTAAATCTGATACTAATAATATTTCAGTATCATATTTAATATTATAATCAAATTAACTTCATGAGTCATTTTTGTATGACATTTTCATCTAACTAAAATAAAGCAAATGGTGATTATTTAAAATAATATGAAGGATAGAGTGATCTACATTTATTCTCTTACACCTCAATGTAGGTAAGTTATAGTCATGCCAATTAGAACTGGGTTAACTATGGTTCAGTTTTTTCAAATTCAAAATTTCTCATATTTAATTACATGACTTGCTAGCCAAAACTTTTGTGGCTATAATCACAGGATTTAAGTTACAGAAAATACATTGCCAATAAACTTATTTTCATAAAATGTTTATACTGATTTTACAGGGAAACTATTAATGTATTTAAATTCAGATGTTTAATAAATGAAGCTCTTAAACATTAGGTGTGAACTTTGTACCTTACAATGAATAATTGACAGCTTAATGAAACATAAAGCTTATTGGTTGCAAAATTACTGAAGTTATAATTTGCCAATCTAGTCCTTATTATTGTTCTTGAACTATTTGTTTTGCCAAGAACATACAAATATTAAGAAACGAGCTGACTTTTTAATGTTGTTGGTCATAGGACTTGAACTCTAGGCCTGGGTGCTGTCCCTCAGCTCTTCAGCTCAAGGCTGGTGCTCTACCACTTGAGCCACAGTGCCACTTCCGATTTTCTGTTGGTTTATTGGAGATAAGAGTCTCACGGACTTTCCTGCCTGGGCTGGCTTTGAACTGTGATCCTTAGATCTCAGCTTCCTGAGTAGCTAGAATTACAGAAGTGAACCTCCGGCACCCGGCTTGATCTGGCTTTTTTGTCTATCAATTTGTTGAAATTGCTAAATTAGCTCTCTGGTGATATAAACACAGAAGCTTAGAGGTTTTCACAGTTTGGAGAGTAATTACAAAATTTACATGTTAACTGATTTGTATATTCTTTCTCATGTATTATTCTAGAAAGATGAGCAAGATAGCCATATGATTTAATAAATAGTAGGGAGGCAGGTACAGTAGTCTGTGGTCACACACATACAAGTAACTATGAGAACATGTAAAAGGTGACACCTCATGTGGATATGAATCAGGTAGGGATAACTCTGAAATTTGTATTAAGTAAAATGGGATCTATTGTTGCAGGCTCAGAGCTGGCAGGACCTTAGGAGTTGAGCTAGGGAGAATGCTAGAGGAAGTGGGGTCTTGGCTTGTAGACTTTCCTGAGGGTCATGGAGGAGATTTTGGATCAATTCCTTGGAGTACCTTATAATTTTAAACTGAGGAGATAACAGTGCTTCAAGTTTGTATTTTAAGAATTTATATCTGGCCATAACATTAAGAATATATTGGAAGGTCTGGGACGATAGCTTAGGAGTACAATTCTTACCTAACATGTATGAGGCCCTGAGTTTCATGCCCTGCTCTGCCCCCCACCCCCCAAAAAAAGCCATAAGCATAGGAGGTATTTAGGAAGTGGTGGATTTAATCTGGGTAAGTAGTATTGGCTTGAGGTATTAATAGAGATGGAGAAAAGGTGAATGACAAAAATGCATATGGAGTTGGAAAGAATATTTAGGACATGGGGACATAATGGAGTATAAGGAAGAAATACTTCTCTAGTGCCTCTTTCTTGAGAAAAGCAATGTTGGCCATTTTTTCCTGTGTCGTTCTTATTTTTCTCAGCCCTTCTGTTAGATGTGTACATAGTTCTGTGCTCATAATGGAAGGTTATTCTCTGTTCTTTATTTAGAACATCGAGTAACAATTCACTTATTTATAAAAGCATTATTTTTTGTTGGTACAGAGAATTGAATTCAGAACATAATGGTTTCCAGGCAGATACTCTACAACTTGAATCAAGTACCCAGCCTTTTTTTTTTTTTTTTAAACACTTTTTCACACAGGGTCTAATGTTTATACCTAGACTAGCCTAGACCATGATACCCTATTTATACTTTCTGCATAGTAGGGATGACAGATATGGGCCACTGTACTCAGCCACTGGTTGTGGTGGTATTTTGTCTGGTCTAATCTTGAACCACAATCATCTTAATCTTTTCCACCTTAGTAACTGGGATTATAAATGTGAGCCACTGTCCCTTGCCCCAAATATTAGGTCTGTCTGTCTCTTTCTTTCTTCCTCCCTTCCTCCCTTCCTCCCTTCCTCCCTTCCTCCCTTCCTCCCTTCCTCCCTTCCTCCCTTCCTCCCTTCCTCCCTTCCTTCCTTCCTTCCCGTCGGCCGTGGGGCTTGAACTCTGGACCTGGGTGCTGTCCCTGAGCTCTTCAGCTCAAGGCGAACACTCTAAAGCTACAGTGCCACTTCTGGTTTTCTGGTGGTTAATTGGAAATGAGTTTCATACTTTCCTGCTCAGGCTGGCTTTGATCTGTGATCCTCAGATCTAAGCCTCCTGAGTAGCTAGGATTACAGGCATGAGCCACCGCTGCACCCAGTGTGATTTAATATATTTACTGGTCTGCCTGCCTGCCTGCCTTCCTACCTTCTGCCTTCTCTCCCTCCTCCCTTCTCCCCTCCTTCCCCCTCCTCCTTCCCTCTCTCCCTCCCTCCCTTTTTTTTTTTTGTAGATTGTGGGGCTTGAACTCAGGGCCTGGGCACTGTCCCTGAGCCTCTTTGTACTCAAGACTAGCCCTCTACCAGCACCACTTCCAGATTTTGAGTGCTTAATTGGAGATAAGAGTCCCAGAGAGACTTTTCTGCCTGGACTGGCTTTGAGCTACAATTCTTAGATCCCAGCCTCCTGAGTAGTTAGGATTATAGGCATGGAGCCACTGGCGCCTGGTTGGATTTACGTATGATAAAAAGTAATCAATTTCTGCCTTTCTCTATCTTTTCAAAAATGTCTATTGTATATAGTATTTATCCATAATAGCAAAAAAGTAAAACTACCAGAACCTTCAACACTAGAGGAATGGTTCAATGTTCATATTATCTCTTGACAGATTGGATGGATCTCAACAAAATATTCATATGGTTGGCTTTGGGTTATTGGTCATATTATAAATTGTATTGCTAATGTTGGTTTCTATTTTTTGACAATGAAGTCATGTTACCAGGAAAACAAAAGTATCAGTCAAACTGCTAGTAATAGTAGGTGTTTAATATATTAATTTGTATAGTTTAATGTTTACTAAAAAATTCCAGGCAAAGTATGCTCTATATTTTTGACATTAGGAAATGACTCCTTTTCTCTCTTGTTAGTTACATCAAGGACAAATTTTCATTCATAACTAATCATAGGCAAATGTACTTCTGACTTGACCTTAAAAAGAATTTATTTCGGGGCTGGGAAGGTGGCTCAGTGGTAGAGCACTTGCCTTGCATGCTCGAGGCCCTGGGTTCGATTCCTCAGCCCCACATAAGCAAAAAGAAAAAAGCCGGAAGTGGCTCTGTGGCTCAAGTGGTAGAGTGCTAGCCTTGAGCTGAAGAGCTGAGGGACAGCGCCCAGGCCCAGAGTTCAGGCCCCAGGACCGGACCAAAAAAAAAAAAAGAATTTATTTCAAAGTGTTAAGTTTATCAGAGTCACTTTTCAGAGTTTAGTTTAATTACTACTAATTTGCTATGGGTATTTAATAGGAACAAAAAATCTGCCAACGTTATGATCAGCTCATGGAGGCTTGGGAAAAAAAAGTGGACAGAATTGAGAATAATCCACGGAGGAAAGCTAAAGAAAGCAAAACAAGAGAGTACTATGAAAAGCAGTTTCCAGAAATTCGTAAACAAAGAGAACAGCAAGAAAGATTTCAGAGGTGAGTAGTTTTTTGTTTTCTTTGTGCTGGGGGTAAGTGCTTTATCACTGAGGTAGGTACCATTTCCAGATGAGTTGAAGTTTAATTTGTTGTGATTTTTATTTTAAGTAAGTTTTCTCTTAATTTCTCTTGTTTCCTGATGTTAATCAGTAGGAATGTGCACAAATAACTTCCTGTGAATTTAAAACGTTATTACCAACCTATGAAGATTATATCTTAGTGAATTTAACATTAATTTTTGTGCTTAACTGTTGTGCTTAATGTAATGAATATTTTGAAATTAATTCTTCAGCTCTTGAAATTATTACTGTGAACATGACAGTTGATAATATAATCAAACATTAAATTGGTTTCTAGTTAAGAAATTCTAGCCAGGTGCTAGTGGTTCATGCCTGTAATCCTAGCTACTCAGAAGGCTGAGATCTGAGGATCACAGTTCAAAGCCAGCCTGAGCAGAAAAGTCTGTGAGACTCTTCAATAAACTACTCAGAAATAGTCAGAAGTGGCTCTGTGGCTCAAGGGAGTGAGCACAGAGAGGCTCAGGGACAGAGCCCAAACCCTGAGTTCAAGCCTAAAAAAAAAGAAAGAAAATGAAAAAGAATTTTGAATTGTTATCCTCAGATTTTAGCCATCTGAGTAGAAAGGATTATAGAAGTAGCCCTGCTGCTTGCTGTACTTTTAAAAGTTTAATTGACCTGTTCTTTAGAACACAGGCAAAACTGCTTCTTGAAAAGGAAGTGGCATCAGTAACTCATTTTTTCCCCAAGCTTCCCATATTTAGTTACACCATTTTTAACTTGAACAGTTAACTTTTAAAATCTCCATCTTAGCATTTAAATAGTTAATAATGTAACTGGTAACTCAAGCATATTACTTGAATTCATTCAATAGTATTTTAGGAGGCAAGTGTAGCAGCTCATGCCTGTAATTCTTACTACTCAGGATGGGGAGAGAGATCAACAGAGTTGTGTTTTGAGGCAGCCTGGGGCAAAAAAGTGTGGAAGACTCAATCTCAGCCACTATGACCTAGGCATGTCTATTATCCCAGGTATGCAGGAAGTGTAAATAGGATCATGATCCAAGCTAACCTAGGTAAAAAGAGAGGCCCTGTTTGGGAAAACAACAAGAGCAATAAAGCTGGGGCATGGCTCAGGTGGTAGTAGTGTGTCTGTAGTTAGTGTAAGTCCCTGATTTTAAAGTCCCAGTATTGGATCCATCCCCAAAAAGTAATCTATATGGGGCTGGGAAGGTGGCTCAGTGGTAGAGTGCTTGCCTTGCATGCATGAGGCCCTGGGTTTGATTCCTCAGCACCACATAAGCAGAAAAAGCCAGAAGTGGTGCCGTGGCTCAAGTGGTAGAGTGCTAGCCTTGAGCTGAAGAGCTGAGGGGCAGCACCCAGGCCCAGAGTTCAGGCCCAACAACCGGCAAAAGAAAAAAAAAAAATCCTGGGAAAAAAAAAAGTAATCTCTATGAATTTAATTGATAATGTTTTCTTTCTAAAAGTTCTTTAATACTTATTTCTCCTTCATATTTAGAGTTGGCCAAAGGGGAGCTGGTCTTTCAGCCACCATTGCTAGGAGTGAGCATGAGATTTCTGAAATTATTGACGGTCTCTCTGAGCAGGAGGTAAGAAAATTAATCAATTCAACTTACTTTATTACTTAAACATTTCAGCCCTTTAGCCTAGGTTAGTAAGCATTTCTTTGCATGTAAATGAGGGAACTCTGGGTGCTGGAATTTGGACAATTCTAAAAAGTATAGCTAACCATTAAAGGATTTTAAACAAGGCAGTAATGTGATCATATTGATATTTTACAAAGATGTGTTTGGACCGCTGGGCAGCGGTGGCTCGCGCCTGTAATCCTAGCTACTCAGGAGGCTGAGATCTGAGGATCATGGTTCAAAGCCAGCCCGGGCAGGAAAGTCTATGAGACTGTTATCTCCAATAAACCACTAGAAAACTCGAAGTGGCATTGTGGCACAAGCAGTAGAGCGCTGGCCTTGAGCTGAAGAGCTGAGGGACAGTGCCCAAGCCCAGAGTTCAAGCCCCACAACTGACCAAAAAAACGTCTTTGGAAGCAAGGAAACCAATAAAAAGTTGAGGAGGAAGTTAAAAATAGGGATTTAAAGCTGGGCTGTGATGGCTCACACCTGTAATCCTAGCGTCTTAGGAGACTGAGTTCTGAGAATCACCTTTGGAAGCCAGCCTGGCCAGGAAAATCCCCATGATGCTTACCTTTGATGAACCACAAAAAAAAAAAAAAAAAAAAAATCCAGGAGTGAACCACACACACACACACACACAGCCACCCTCCCCCCCCACAGCTCAAGTAGGGTCCAGGTCTGAGTTCAAGTCCTACCACACATGCACACGCACGCGCACACACACCTCTCTAGTTCTTTCCCCTTTCCCCCAAGTCACAGCAACAATGGTTGGGATACTTAGGAGGAGACTGATAACAAAAACTTATAGAATGTAGAACGAACAAGATGGATGCATTGAATAAAGGGGAAGAAGAGGAGGATAGGAAGACTCCTGGTTTCTTTGTTGGAACACTGATTTGGGAGCCATTTCTTCAGATACCACAGAAATACATGCTTTTCAGATGGCAGAATATTTTCTCAAGGGCACTATCTTGTAAGATGAGCCTGAGAGAGTTGAATTGCAGATTAGGTATCACAGTCTTCTGTGTACACATGAAATTGTCTCAGTTGAAGTAAAAGGCTAATTCAGAATGAGAAAACACTTGCAGAATATATTATTTTGACTTTATGCATTTTATTGACTATCAAGAATAGAATCTAATAAATTATAAAACAAATATTAGAGACTAGGATAGACATTTAAAGAATATATAGTCCAGGCCAAACAGCAATTTTGCCACATGAAATATACTGTTTCCCAAAAGATAAGAAGCAGCTTTTCAGTCTCATTTTATATTTATTTCTTTTATGTATTTGTTTTCTTTATTATAATCAGCTTGAGTATTGTATTCATGAAGATGGTTATTATACTTTTAGGACTATCAAACAAATTAAAAATAATAAATTTCAAGCAGGGTGCCAGTGGCTCACACTTGTAATACTGTCTACTCAAGTGACTGAGATTTGAGGGCTGAGGTTCAGAGCCAGCCGGGGCAGGAAAGTCTGAGTTTTGTTTTGTTTTTTTGGTCGGTCGTGGGGCTTGAACTCTGGGCTTGGGCACTGTCCCTCAGCTCTTCAGCTCAAGGCTAGCACTCTACCGCTTGAGCCATAGCACCACTTCCGGTTTTCTAGCGTTTTATTGGAGATAAGAGTCTCACAAACTTTCCTGCTCAGGCTGGCTTTGAACCATGATCCTCAGATCTCAGCCTCCTGAATAGTTAGGATTACAGGCGTGAGCCACCAGCGCCCAGCTAGTCTGAGATTTTTATCTCCAATTAACTACCAAAAAGCTGGAAGTACTACCAAAGAGTACCATCTTTGAATGAGAAAGCTAAGGTATAGTATTCTTGGCCCTAAATTCAAGACCTAGTACTTGCACCAGAAAAAAGGAATAAATTTCATTCCCTAACAGTGATTCAAACCACCTGTTAAACTTGCTTCCAAAGCTACCTACTTTTTATTGAGCATTACTAGTTTTAATTTTAATTTAATTACTAGTTTTAATTGTTCTCAATTTTCTATAGGTTTTGTTTTAATTTCTGTGGTTATCCCCATAAATAATGACCGAAGATAATTATTAAAGAGTCAGATTATTCAAAATAAATGATACATATAAATGAATAAATACATAGTGTAAATTTCTAAGGGCAGGGATTTTTTTTTGAGGATTCAAATATGTAAATATTTTAAATTGATTTAATTTAAAATAGTTTTGAAAGATTTAGACATAATTTGATAAGTGAAGCAACGGTATCTGACTGAGTAGCTATAATCCTAGCTAATTAGGATGCTCAGACCTGGAGGATTGTATTTGTAGTTAGTCTGGGCAGAACAGTCCACAAGACTCCATGTCCAATTAACTAGCAAAGAGCTGCGCTGGGCGGCTCAGATGGTAAAGTGGCATCTGAGTGTGCAAGAGCCATGAACCTCTGAATTCTCTAGCCTCACTACTAGCCAAGAATTTAGATAAATCAAATTTTTATAATTGTACTGTGTACCACATTTAAAACAAAAAGCAGTGTCATGATTTTTTTACTAGTCCTGTGTATGGGTGTGTGTGGGCTTATGTGTGATACATGTATACATGTCATCCTGGGGCTACTGTCCAATATTTTTTTGTGCATATTGTTTTGGATTGTGATGAGTTAAATACAGATTTACTTTTTTGAGGAGGACAAGTCTTTTAGATAATTTCTGTGATAAAAATAGATGCTTTCATGACAACATTATTTCAGAATTCTTTTTTTTTTTTTTTAAATTTAATTTTATTTTATTTGTGAACATACTGTACAGAGGGGTTACAATTACATGAGCGGGATAATGAGTACATTTCTTACCAAGCATTGCAGCCTCCTCCTTTGGTTTACCCTTCACATCCCTTCCCAGCCTCCCCCCTCCCCCCCAATCCCAATCCTTCTCCTTCCCCCCCCCCCCCCCCCCCCCCATTTCAGAATTCTTATCACTAACCCTAGAGCGGGTAGAAAATTGTGCACAACACCCAAGACTCTTAAGAACTACTTTAGGTCTTAGGTTGTTGAACTGATCCACGTAAACTTTTACAGATTCCCCCACTCCCATCCCTTTTTTCCCCACCCCCCCACCTCCCTTTTCCTTTTTTTGGTCCTTTAAGAGAATTATAGAGACATATCTCACATACTGAGGGACAACTTTACACGTTTTTGTGTATTGTTACATAATGTTGAGTTATCATCCATTTCTACTGCTACAATTGAGCTTAAATTTAAGATCTTCATAGTAGATTGAAGATGCATCAGCCCCAGAGTTCTGATATCTTCTGTTCTTTCCTGAGCTTATCCTTCCTCTTCCCTCCATGTCCTGCCTTACCCCTTCCCTCCCTTCCCCTCTTTGTGTGTGTGTGTATGTGTGTGGGCATGGACATGGACATGGGCATGGGCATGTGCACATGCTTGAACTCAGGGCCTGGATGCTGTTCCTGATTTTGTGTTTCCTCAAGGCTATTGCTGTGCTTTTTGGTGGTTTATTGGAGGTAAGAGTCTCAAGGACTTTTCTTCCTGGGCTGGCTTTGAACTAATTCTCAGATCTCAGTCTCCTGAGTAGCTAGAAACAGGTATGGGCCACTGGTAGTCAGCAAGTTATTTTTTAGAATGAAACATTTTGTTATGTTCTCATCCTTATAAGTAACTTACTTTGTGAATCATTTAGCACAGTGTCTGTAGAGTAAATCGGTGTTACTTTTTGCTAGGCTCGGTGCCGTATACTTCTTTTGGTATACATATACACACATATATACATACACATATATACATACATACACACATATACACACACATTGGTTGTCTTTGGAAAATTTAACACAAACCAGGAGTACCTTAATGTATGTAATTCCTATGATTAGAGCAAATGAACTTTTTTTTATAGCATATATTGAGTAATTTCACTTATTCTATATCACGTTTGAAATTACTTTTAAATTCGTGATTAAAATGAAATGAATCCTGTGGAATTTGTAGAAATAATTTCTTTTATCATGAATAAATCTGTGTTAAGTTTCTTTGCTTCCTTTCCTGCAGATTTCATTAATGGACACCTGGAAGCATTTTTTTTTTTCGGTTTATCAGTTGAGGTGATTTTATGCTAATATGTCTCTTTCAAACATTGGTATTCAAATTGATTGGAGTATCTCATGAAATTGGAGACTTTGTAAGACTTGACTAGAAGGAAATACATGCCTATCTATAAGCAGAATTTTTAGAAAACAACCCTTGTCTTGTATTTGAGTAAACATTCATAATTTTGGTAAAACATTTTTTTCATGAAAACGTGCTTTAAGATACCCTAAATTATGATGTGGCAAATAAGTCATACACATGTAGATTTGAAATCAGCATAATTCTAAGGATAACAGTCCTAATTTTTTATTGGAATTTAGGAATACCTATAGCTACATAAGTTTAGGTTACATAATATTAATACTTTTAAATTTTTGGTCTGTTTGCTTGTTTTTGCATTTATTGTTCTATAAAACGAGCTTAGATTTGTATGCTAAAATGATGAGAGACTATGGTTTGTGTGTGTGTGTGTGTGTGTGTGTGTGTGTGTGTGTGTGTGTGTGTGTGTGTGTGTGTGTGTGTGTGTGTGTGTGTGTGTGTGTGTGTGTGTGTGTGTGTGTGTGTGTGTGTGTGTGTGTGCGCGCGCGCCAATTGTAGGGCTTGAACTCAGATCCTGGGCACTGTGCCTGAGCTTTTGTGTACAAGCCTCATTCTCTACCACTTTGAGCCACAGCTCCATTTGCTGGCTTTTTTGGGTAGCTAGTTGTAGATAAGAGTTTTATGACTTCCTGCCTGGGTGGCTTTGAACTGTAATTGTTAAATTTCAGCCTCCTGAGTAGCAAAACTACAGGTATGAGCCATCCCTTAGAGTAAGAGATTAGTTTCTTTTTTCTTTTTTTGCTGGTTGTGGGGGCTTGAACTCTGGGCCTGGGCATTGTCGCTCAGCTCTTTAGCTCAAGGCAAGTGCTCTACTACTTGAGCCACAGCACCAGTTGCAGTTTCCTGGTGGTTAATTGGAGGTAAGAGTCTCATGGACTTTCCTGCTGGGGCTGGCAAATCTCAAGCCTCCTGAGTAGCTAGGATTACAGGTGTGAGCCACCAGCTCCTGGCAAGACTAGTTGCTTAATGAAGCTTTTGTGATAATTAAATGCTTCATAAAATCACTACTTCGCCAGGTGCAACTCTACCATTTGAAGTATACCTCCACTTCTCTTTTTGCTGGTTAGTTGGAGAGAAAAGTTTCACAGACTTCCCTTTGGTGGGGTGGCTTTGAGCTATGATATTCATATCTCAGCTTCCTTAGTAGCTAGGATTATAGGTGTGAACCCTAGATTGTGTTTCTTTTTAATGTCTATTAAGAATTCTGTGGCTCTTTTAAAATTTCTCATTTAAATTTTAAATTACATATATTTTGTTTTATTTTCAGAATAATGAGAAGCAAATGCGACAGCTGTCTGTGATCCCACCTATGATGTTTGATGCTGAACAAAGACGTGTCAAGTTCATTAACATGAATGGTCTTATGGAGGACCCTATGAAGGTTTACAAAGATAGGCAGTTTATGAATGTTTGGACTGATCACGAAAAGGAAATCTTTAAGGACAAGTAATTTAAAATTTAAATTATTCTCTAATAGAAGTTAGCAATTAAACTGTTGCCACAAAACTTTTTTTCATGAGAATATTGATATTCCAAAAGTTTATAGGTGTGAAAATTGGCAACAGAGATCAGTACTAAGAATGTGGACTGATTTTTTTTTAAGAGAAACTCACAAACTTGGGTGCTATTGGAACACTTAAATGTCCTTTTTTGTTGTTGTTGCTTTTTGGGAGGGGAGGAGAACAAGACTCAGTATATAACCTAGGCTTATCTTTAACTCAATCTTCTTTTCCTACCTCCATGTCCAAAATTCTGAGATATGTATTAGCTTGGGGAGGTCTTTAAAGGTACAGATTTTGCCAGGTGTTAGTGGCTCATGTCTTTAAGCCAGGAGATTGAGATCTCAGGATCATGGTTCAAAGTCAGCCTAGGCAGGAAAGTTGTGAAAGTATCTCCAATTAATCTCAAAAAACTAAAAATGCTAGAAGCAGAGCTGTGGCTCAAGTTGTATAGTGCTAGCCTTGAGCACAAAAGCTCAGGAACAGTATTCATGCCCTGAGTTCAAGCCCTAGAACTAGTACCAAATAAAAAAAAGTACAGATTTCTATGATTTCATGTTACGTAGATTGATCATTTCCTGTTGGATAGTTCCCAGGACCCTACCTTTGATTTATAGTTGTTAATCAAAGAACCGCTGGGAATTAGTCTATATATAATATTCCTTTATTGCAGTTTTCATTTTTAAACTTGTAAGTTGTAAAATGTTTGCATATATGTTTTTGCTTTTCTGCTTTTTGTTTTTTAACTCAGGTTTATTCAGCATCCAAAAAACTTTGGACTAATTGCATCCTACTTGGAAAGGAAGGTAAGAAATAGTTTTGTTGAGAATGTTTTATTGTAATGATATTACTTTGGAGTTTCTGTACTTTTATAAGAAACAGTAGTTAGAGCTGATTTTGTAAAGTACTTGATATAGAAAAAATTCTTATTACAATTACTAATTATAATCATTTAAATTATATGAGGAATCCTAAGCCCAGAGCTAATTTTCATGGTTCATGACATGATCTGATCTTATGTATTAAAAATATTGCTTACTGTCTGGTGCCAGTGGCTCACGCCTGTAACCCTAGCTACTCATGAGGCTGAGATCTGAGGATCGCAGTTCAAAGCCAGCTGGGGCAAGGAAAGTCCGTGAGACTCTTATCTCTAATTAACCACCAGAAAACCTGAAGTGGCGCTATGGCTCAAGTGGTAGAGCACTCACCTTGAGCTGAAAAGCTCAGTGACAGCACCCAGGCCCAGAGTTCAACTACCACCACCACCACCAACAACAAAAATTGCTTATCGTGTTTTATTAAAGTAAATTTCCTCTGATTTTTTTTTTCCTATTGTGAACTGGCTTTAATGTTTTTGAGCAAAATATTTCAAAAGAAATTTTGAATATTATATGTAGTAGAAATTAATTAGAAAGTTAAGAAAATACTTGAATATATTTTGGTAGTTTGTATCTTTAGCATAATTTAAATTTAGGCAAGTGTAACTGTCTATTAAAGCAGTAAATATACGTGTTAATAGAACTTAGATCTGCCTTAAAGTATTGCCCACAGAAGTATTCTTTTAACATAGACTAGGAGTACCAGAAAATTTCCATGAAAGTTGTCTTTCATTAAAAATATCTTTTATTTCACTGCATCTTCAAAGAAACTTTTTCCTTACAGAGTGTTCCTGATTGTGTTTTATATTATTATTTAACCAAGAAAAATGAGAATTATAAAGCCCTAGTAAGAAGGAATTATGGAAAACGCAGAGGCAGAAATCAGGTGTGTTGCATTACGTTGTGATGTTTTTGGGTTGATAAAAATATGAAGATAAACATTAAAACTGGAGTTTCATTCTTGATATGTGTTTTAGAGATTGATATTTCTGTTATTTAAGATGTATCCCTGTAAGCATTAGTTTGAAGTGTATTCTGAATGTAATTTCTGGTGTAATAGATTGTTACATATTTTTCTACATTCATGTCTTTGGAATCATATACCTTAGTGTTAGTACATAAAATTATACATGAGAACTTTAGTACCTTACCTAATGTATCATCTTTAACTAGTCTTTTTTTTTTTTTTTTTCTGAGACAGGGAAAAGTAGACTGTCCAATAGAGAGTATAACTAGAATAGAAAATTTTTTTACCAAAATGTCCAAGATCAAATTTTATTTCAGATTAACCTCATTTGTGGAATTTAGATATATTAACCTTTAGAAAATACTTTATCTGAGGAACAGTTTTTCATAAGTATAGATGTTTACAGTTGGAATTCCATTGTTTCAAATCTGTTCACCCCAAAATAACCAGTGAGCAGCTGTCATACTTCTGTGTGTGCAGTTAGAGGGGCTGCTGCTGTAATGCCGATGCCATTGCCTATTATTCTGTTTACCCTGGTAGATGGACTTGAATGGATGTATGAACTCTGACAGCTGCTATTACCATTCTTAGTCTCTTCTGGTCTCCCCACACAGGAACACTTTCAATTAGTAGGTTCTTATTATTTCCTTATCTTGAGAACCATAGCCACCAAATATAGATTTCTTTCTTTCTTTAATTGATTTTTGTGCCAGTCCTGAGGCTTGAACTTAGGGCCTGGGTGTTGTCTGAGCTTTTTTTTTTTTTTTTTCCACAAGGCTAGCATTTTACATTTTACATTTTTACCAGTTGAGCCACAGCTCTGCTTCAGAAATTTTGTTGATGAATTGGAGTTACGAGTCTTATGGACTTCCCTGCAATCAACATAGGTATACAGGTATCTTTCTTGTATATTGATTTACTCTGTCAGTAATAGTGGTATGGCAGAGTTACAGGGAAGGTTTACTTTTGAGGAACATTCATACTGATCTCCATAGTGGTTGTACTAGTTTATATTGCTACCAACATCATATGAGGGTTTCTCTCTTCTCCCCCTCATCTTTGCCAGTATTTCAGATAGAGATTTGTTAGACTCAGTTTACTCATTATTCAGAGTCATAACTTTAAAAAAAATATTTCCTTCAAACAGTACCTCTTCATTACATTACGATTATAGTCTTTGGAAATAGTATTTCTTTGTTAAAAAAAAAAAAAAAGTATAGGGAGGCCGGATGTGATAGTACATGCCAATAATCCTGGCACTCAGATGCTGAGGCAGGGGGATCACAGTAAGATCAAAAATTCCCCAGCCATATATTATTTTCCTTATTAAAGGTTTCTGGAACATTGATTTACTTCCCTCCTAAACTTCTCTCCTAAGCACATGCATGCCTATTAAGTTTCAGCCTTATCAGCACTTTTCTCTTATATTCTTGTTTAACATTTCATTGTACTATAATCCTCTGTGTGAATTTACAGGACTGAGATTTGCTACTTTTACCCTCATCTTGATTCAGTGGTAGGTGTTTACTCCTGGTGGGGTCAGGTTTAGTTTGTTCAGCCCTTCCATTAGTTTAGTCCTTCCCTTAATAGATCTTTCTTCCATTTTGCTGTCTTTTTCCTTTCTCCTTTCCTTTCCTTTCTTTTCCTGCCCTGTCCTGCCCTGTCCTTTCCTGTCCTTTTTCCTTTCCTTTCCTCTTTTTTCTAATTCACTGGGCATTTGGGAGAGGTGGGGAATTAAATGATGGGCTTAGACCACTATCTGAGACCAAAAGATTCTCATTTATGTTTCTTTAGTGCCCATGTACTTCATTCTGTTTATTTGTATCAAAATAAATGGGCAGTTTTTCAGAATGAGAAGGTCTTAGTTTTAAGGATTCTCCTGTGTAAAACCAAATTCACTAAAGATAGACCCCATGAGAGGAGAAAGTTTTTAATGAAAGAATAATTTCAGATTCTGTCATTACTTAATCATTCTGGATGATGTGTAGTGGATTATAAGGAAACAAGTCAAGAAGTGGGAAGACCAGTTAGGGAGTGGTTACAATCTGAATGGGTTGGACAAGATTCTAGGGGAGAGTTCAGGAGAAATATTGTTTTGAAGGTGTGTGTGTGTGTGTGTGTGTGTGTGTGTGTGTGTGTGTGTGTGTGTGTGTGTGTGTGTGTGTGTGTGTGTGTGTGTGTGTGTGTGTGTGTGTGTGTGTGTGTGTGTGTGTGTGTGTTGATATTTTTAGTTTTTGTTTTTTGTGTGTGTGTGTGTGTGTGTGTGTGTGTGTGTGTGTGGTGATATTTTTAGTTTTTGTTTTTTCTTTCTCCTTCTTCCAATGGAGCTGTGAATACACAGCATATGCTAGACAAATGTTCTGCCACAGGTATTTGAAGGTAGAAGTAAAACCAGTGGGTTTTGTTGATGTTGACTGTGGAAAAATGAAAGTCAGTATTGGGGGCAACATCAAATGTTTGCTTGTGGAATAGCCATTATGACAGAAGAGTAGATTTATGATATGTCTAAGTTTCAGAGAACAGGAAGAGATCCAAATGAAATGTTTAAGTGGAATACATAGTTAAATGTATAGGAAAAAGATCTAAATTGGAGATGTGGAAATTTTGTTTTTTTGCCCCAGTCATGAGGCTTGAACTCAGCACCTGGGCACTGTCCCTGAGCTCTTTTTGCTCAAGGCTAGCCCTCTACCACTTTGAGACGTAACTCTACTTCCAGTTTTCTGGTGTTACTTGGGAGATAAGAGTCTCAGGCCTTTACTACCCTGGCTGGCTTTGAACCACAGTCCTCAGCTTCCTGAGTAGCATAAGCCACTGATGCCTACCTAGAGATGTGAAATTTTTGAGAAAAGATTTCATTTTTCAAAGAGAATTTAGTTTAAAAGTGAAAGTATTCTGAGCTGGTTGCTGATGGCTCACATTTGTAAGCGTTGGAGCCTAAGATCTGAGGATCACAGTTCAAAGCCAGCCCAAACAGAAAGGTCCATGAGACTTATCTCCAGTTAACAAGAAAACTAGCAGTGTTGTGGTGGCTCAAAGTGGCAGAGTACCAGCTTTGAGTGAAAAGCTCCTCAGAGGCAGGGCCCAGGCCCTGAGTTCAAGTCTCAGGACCAACAAACAAAAATCTGAATCAGTGTGGTGGCTCAAACCTGTGATGTTAGCTACTTGTATGAGTACAGTAGTATATGCCTGTCACTTTCAACATCACATGGAAGCATGTGTAGATGGATCAAATCCCAGGCTAGCCTGAACCTGAAGTAAGATACTACTTGAAAATAACACAGAAATGTTCTTGGAAATGGCTCAAGTGGTATAGTACTTGCCTAGCAAGTGTGAGGTCCTGAGTTTATAGCCAAAGTACTGCCCAAAGCAAAAATGTCTGTCAACCCTCTTGACTTTACCCTGATATGATTAGTGAATTTGGAGGTCACTTTACTGCTCTATTATTCAATGATAGCGACCATAGCCCTTTTACTAAAGGAAACTCTTGAGTTCTATTGAAGTTCTACTTGATCCTTTCAGTGCTTTTTTATTGTATTCCCACCCACAGCTTCTGCTAGAAAGACTAGTTTTCAGTCAGCAGAAGGAAGTATAAATTGGTGTTTATTTTTGCCAGACCTGAGGCTTGAACTCAGGGCTTGGGCACTGTCCCTGAGCTTCTTTTGCTCAAGGCTAGCATTCTGCCACTTGAGCCACAGCACTACTTCTGGCTTCTTTTGTTTATGTGGTACTGAGGAATCAAACCCAAGGCTTCATGTATGCTGGGCACTCTACCACTAAGCCATATTCCCAGCTCATTTGCTGTTCATTGACTGAAAGATTCATTCTAAAATTTGTGAAGTTTTCAGTTTTTTAAGGTGCTGTTCCTGAAGATGTTCTTTCATTATTCTGACAATGAAGCTTTAATCTTTATCAAAACTACAAAGCACTCATATTTGTAAAAATTGTGTTCAGATATTATTATTTGCAGAAAATTTAACTTTCTTTATTCTATTTCAAAGCTATTTTAGTTCTGCTTGTTAGTATCCTATAAGACTGAGTTTGTTTGTTTTTTTTGGGTTTTTTTTTTTTTTTTTTTTTTTTTTTTGCGTCTGGTCGTGGGGCCTGAACTCTGGGCCTGGGCACTGTCCCTCAGCTCTTCAGCTCAAGGCTAGCTAGCGCTCTACCACTTGAGCCACAGCGCCATTTCTGGCTTTCTTTTTGCTTATGTGGTGCTGAAGAATCGAACCCAGGGCCTCATGCATGCAAGGCAAGCGCTCTACCACTGAGCCACCTTCCCAGCCCTTGAATGCAATTCTTATTTTATATTACTACTATCTTTGATGGCATTGGGTTTGAACTCAGGATCTCAAGCTTTGTAGGCAGGTCTTCTTGGTTGAGTCATATCCTCAGCCATCTTTTACTTTATTATTATTATTTTTTGTTGGTTGTGGGGGCTGTACTCTGGGCCTGGGCACTGTCTCTCAGCTCTTCAGCTCAAGGCTAGCACCCTATCACTTGAGCCACAACGCCATTTCTGGCTTTTTTCTGCTTATGTGGTGCTGAGGAACCTAACCTAGGGCCTCATTCATGTGAGGCAAGCACTCTACCACTGAGCCACCTTCCCAGCCCACTTTAGTTATTTTTAGATGGAGTTTCTAGGTTTTACCTGGAATGGCTGGCCTTGGATCATGATTCATAATTCTCTCACTAATGGCCTTTAGATAGCTGAAATCCCAGGTTGATACCACCATGCTTGATTTACTGACTGAGATAGAAGTCTTGTTTATTTTTTCTTGGGCTGCCCAAGAGCTGTGATGCTTCTGATGTCTATCTCCTGAACAGCTGGTATTACAGGTACAAGCCGCTATGCTTGGCCTCTCTCTATATTAGTAAAAGCAGTTCCCATTTGAAGCTAAGGATTGTTCTCTTTGTTGCAAAAATTAGTGAGCCAGGTGGTAAAATCATGTATCCCTTTTAGAGAGTGAGTATGAAATGAGTCTGTAAACTCAAAAGAGAAAATTGTCATAGATAGACTGAAATGTGAAAAAGTATATTCACTTTAAATCTTGCAGTTTAGTGTTCTGGAAGAGGCAATAAAGACCAAGCAACATATAGATTTTTCTTCTGTACAGATTAACAATAAGACATAATGTGGTTTTTCTTTAGGGGAGGCCATTAAGGCTTTCTGTATTTTAAGGAACAAACCAGGTCTTAGTTTTGGTGAGCAGGTAAAACACTTTGTGAACCTGTTAAAAATTAAAGGAAGAGCTGGGCACCAGTGATTCTTGCCTATAATCCTAGCTACTCAGGATGCTGAGATTTGAGGATCACAGTTTGAAGCCAGATTGGGCAGAAAAATCTGTGAGACTTTTTATCTCCAATAAACTACTCAGAAAAAGCCACAAGTGGCACTGTGGCTCAAGTGGTAGGGCACTTGCTTTGAGTACAAAGAAGCTAGGGGACAGTGCCCAGACCCTGAGTTTGAGCCCAAGGATGGGGGGGAGGGGAGTGGTGCAGGAAATTTTACTTAAAAGAAATGAGTTACTTTTATGTTGTCTGCTAAAGGGAACAGATAAGACAGGTAGATTGTTAGGAGGCAAGATTGAAGACAGGTAGATTGTTAGGAGGCAAGATTGACGTTGGGATAGGAGGACAAAGCTTTTCAAAAATCCAGGGGGGGGGGAAATATATATATATATATATATATATTTTGGCGTGGCCAGATCCTCTCATAGGAGATGAGTAAGATTGTTCTTAGTGGGATGATAACACCGTGAGCCTGACTGTTGTTGATAACTAGGTACTAGGTCACTGAATGGTAAGTGCTGCTGGAAGGTGTAGAATACAGTAGAGAGGGAAGGAGATGGAGCCCAATTTCATCTGTGACCTCACAAAAGGCGTTTTGAAATAAGCCTTAGGAGATATCCAAGTTTACCAGGCAAGGAAAGGCAGAGAGGAGAGTATGCCAGGGAATGGCATGATATGTTTAAGGCATCGTATGTTTTGGTAAATCCAAAGGCAGCTAAGAAGAACATGGGAAGGATGAGGATATAGGGAAGTATAATCAGGCCAGCAGCTTTGTGATAAAGATGTATTGGAGTTTTATCCTCATTAATTAATGTTTTGCAATTTTAATTTATGAACTAAATAAAAAAATACTATGCAGGATGAACTTAATTTCACTTTTTTTCTTTTAAAGTCAATTTTAGTAAATGCAATATCAAAAAGGTAAAAAAGTCCATAACCCAGTTTCCCATTGATTGTCCAATGATAACCTTTTCTTCATTGATCTCTCTCAAACTTTTTCTACATACATGTTTGTATGGTTGTTATTTCAGCTTAGACTTGAGTGGTTTTTTTCACTTTACTGTATTTTAAATATTTTCCTAACTGACTTCATTTTTAATAACGACCATAGCTGTCATTATCTTCATTAAATGGATGTTCCATGAAAGTATAAAAGCATAATGATGTTACTTTTAATACTGATAATGATGTAAAAAATTGAGAACATATTGTGTCTAATATTAGAGATAGTTTAAAGAATTATAGATGAGTCATCAAATTTTAAAGTATAATTAGAATGTTTGAATGAAATACTAAATAGTAGTTATAAAAGAAAAGCACCAACCTCAGGTTTCTAGTGAAATAGTAATATTTTCATCTTTCTGATAGGCCCGAGCAATATGAACATTTTGTGTGTGTGTGTGTGTATTTGTGTAGTACCTTTTAAGTAGCATATGTGAAATACATTAAGAAACAATGTACAAATTTTAATGCTTGACCACCAATTATATTGTAAATGATTAATGATTTTTAAATAATAGAGATGGATGTTATAATTTAACATTACAACTTACACTATTTCTGGTACCTATGTATATGACAAATGTTTTCTAGCAGCAAATTGCCCGTCCCTCACAAGAAGAAAAAGTAGAAGAGAAAGAAGAAGATAAAGCAGAAAAAACAGAAAAAAAAGAAGAGGAAAAGAAAGATGAAGAAGAAAAAGATGAGAAGGAGGACTCTAAGTGAGTTAAATATTCTTAGATAAATTAACTTTTAACCAATAAAACTGAATCCGTTGAAGGCATGGAATACTAGATTTAAAAATACTAGATTTTAAACAATTTGGAGTTGGCCACCCATGGCTCATGCCTGTAATACTTGCCATTCAGGAGACTGAGCCTGAGGATAGTTGTTCAGAGCCAGCCTAGGCAGGATAGTTTGTGAGACTTTTATCTGCAGTTAACTGCCAAAAAAATGCTGGAAGTAGAGCTGTGGCTCCAGTGGTAGGATGAAAAAGTTCAGGACAGTGCCTAGTCCCTGAGGACTAGCACAAAACAACAACAACAACAAAATACAAACTTGAGACAGTTACCTTATAAAGAGAATAGGTTTAATTTACCATACTATTTTGTAAGTTTTAATCCATGATCCGTTAGCTCTTTGCTCTGGGCCTGATGAAAGGTAATACATCATGGCAGGAGCACATAGTGAAACAAAACCATATACATCATGGCCAGAAAGTAGAGAGACGGAGAGAGGGAGTGACACTAGGATTCGAATAGACCCTCAACAGCATGCCTCTCCTGACCTAAAGACCTGACACTAACTAGGCTCTGCCTCCTGAAGACCCTATTATCTGCTATACTGCCAACATAGGGACCATGCTTTTAATCCATGGACTTTTGCTGGGGCCGTGTAAATCCAAACTACAGCAAGTATGTAATCTTCTCTGTGGTTTCTTGCACTTCACATAAATGGCTTTGAGATTCAGTTACGTTGTTGCATAGATCAGTAGTTTGTGGTTTTAAAAAACATTTCAGTCTTAGAAACACTTAATGTTTGCCTTTGTGACAGCTAAAGCTGCCTAGTCACTTAACCTAGTTTTAAGATTCAGACATTCATGCTTTTCTACTTTTGTGCCTTCGGAAAATACATATAAGAGAATTAAAACAAAATTATTTTTTCATTTGAATGTTTATTATATCACATTGGTAAAGTTTTCTTAGTCTATCATCCGTTTACATGGGAAGTAGCTTGATTATAAATCAAGCTAGCTTGATTATAAATGTTTTTGAGGGGCTGGGAAGGTGGCTCAGTGGTAGAGCGCTTGCCTTGCATGCATGAGGCCCTGGGTTCGATTCCTCAGCACCACATAAGCAAAAAGAAAAAAGCCGGAAGTGGCGCTGTGGCTCAAGTGGTAGAGTGCTAGCCTTGAGCTGAAGAGCTAAGGGACAGCGCCCAGGCCCAGAGTTCAGGCCCCACGACCGGACCCAAAAAAATAAAAGAATTAAAAAAAAAATGTTTTTGAAACTCCCTTGACAACAATGGATAGGCATGGTGGTGTATGCCTATCATCTTAAGCTATAGGGGAAGCATAACAGCTAGATGAAGGGGTGCATACTTTTTCATTCCAACAAAGGGAAACACAGATTGGAGGATCACACCCCAGCCCAACTCAGACTTACAGTGCGACCCTATCTAGGAAATAGCTAATCCCCCAAAAAGCTGCCAGTGTGGCTCAAGTACCTGAAAGCCTATGACCTAGAGTTCAAACCCAAGAATCATCAAAGATTTCAAGAAAAGAGCATCTAGGTATGGTGACTCATACTTAGATTCCCATCTATTTGGAAGATATAGGAGGATTGCCAGTACTGGCAAACAGCGAGTCTTTAAAAGAAAGTTAGATGTGGTCTGTATGTAGTCCCAGCTACCTGGGAGGTTTAGGTACAAGGATCACAGTCTAAGGCCAGCCCTTGACAATGAGCATGGGATTGTATCTAAAAAACAGTTAATGGGGAAGTATTGGGGCATGGCCTTGAGTTCAAAACCCAGAACTGCCAAGAGAAAAAACAATAAATGAAATAAATAAAAATGGAAATAGCAGACCCACCAGGCACCAGAGGCTCACACATGTAATACTAGTTATTCAGGACCCTAAGATCTGGAGGATTAAATTCAAAGCAGCCTGGATAGAAAAGTTAAAGTGATTAATTAACTAACAAAAGGCTATAGGTATGGCTTGAATAGTAAAGTGCCAAGAGATCTGAGTTTAAGCCCTAACAATAACTCTCCTTCCAAAAGAGAGGTGGGAGGAGAAGCATTGAAATGTGTAGGACACTTGAGAAGTGTTTTAGTCCTATGTGGTTGATTGAGAGAACTTTGAATATAAAAACTGTTAAATAAGGGCTGGGAAGGGGGCTCAGTGGTAGACACTTGCCTTGCATGCATGAGGCCCTGGGTTCGATTCCTCAGCACCACATAAGCAAAAAGAAAAAAGCCGGAAGTGGCGCTGTGGCTCAAGTGGTAGAGTGCTAGCTAGCCTTGAGCTGAAGAGCTGAGGGACAACGCCCAGGCCCAGAGTTCAGGCCCCATGACCGGACCCCCCCCCCCCCAAAAAAAAAAAAAAAAAAAAAAAACTGTTAAATAAGCTTGGTGCCTGTGGCTCACGCCCATAATCCTAACTACTCAGGAGGCTGAGATCTGGGGATCATGTTTCAAAGCTAGCCCAGGCAGGAAAGTCTGTGAGACTCTTTATCTCCAATGAACCACCAGAAAACTGGAAATAGTGCTATGGCTTAAGTGGTAGAACACTCACATTGAACTGAAGAGCTGAGGGACATTGCACAAGTTCAGAGTTCAAGCCCCAGGAATGAAACAAAACAAACAAATTATTAAATGATTAGACAATGAGGTTGAGCAAAAAACCAGAAGTAGTAAGGATGAGCCTGTTTTTTTGAATTTATTGATAGGAAATGGAGGTGGCTGTTGCAGCAGTTGGTTGAGAAATAGGAAGTCATTGAGTAACCGGACAAAGATCCAAGGCTATCTGTATGGGCTTGAGGAAATCCTGTATGAGAGGCTAGAGGAAGAAATTCAGCCTCTAGAAGGAAAGCAAGAGTAATAGCAGGAATATTTTGTGGCTAAACTAAAAAGGAAGAATTGTGCACACAGACATTTATAGCAGAAAGAATAATGTGATAATTGAGAAAAGGTCATTTTATTTTTCAGTTTGTGATTGATGAGTTTGACAAAACACCTATTTTTGGTAATGCTAGGGATCAAATTCATAAAACAGGAGGCTGTAGACTAGAAATTAGTTGATAAGGAAATGAAGAAGAGAAAGGAAAAAGGCACATAGCTTTAATTTTTTTGTGTGCTAGTCCTGGGGCTTGAACTCAGGGCCTGTCCCTGAGCTTCTTTTGCTCAAGGCTAGCACTCTACCATTTGAGCCACAGCATCACTTCTGGCCTTTTCTGTATGTGGTACTGAGGAATCAAACCCAGGGCTTCATGCATGCTAGGCAGATTCCCAGCACAGAATAATTTTTTTAAATATTTTTTTTATTGAGATTAGGTGATCACATAAATTTCACATCTTTCACAGTATTATGGAATAGTGATCCTTAAAGTTACAAACACATCTTAACCTTCACAAGGCAAATTGTTATTATCATGGTCTATAAAGTTTGTGAATTCTATAAGCTTTGACAATACAGCTATTTCTTCCACATTAGGAGAAGAATAATTTTTGAAGCACTTGTTTTGGGTAAAGAAATCCATAATCTGGGAAATCAGAACAAGTCTTTACTTAAAATAGATAAAACCAGAAAATTGTCATCTTCCATTAAGCATCTTTTTCTTTTGATTGGTCCTGGGGCTTGAACTCTGGGCCTGAGTGCTGTCCCTGAGTTCTTCTGCTCAAGACGAGCGAGTGCTCTACCACTTGAGCCATAGCGTCACTAATGTTTTTCTGGTGGAGATGAGAGTCTCGTGGACTTTTCTGCCTGGGCTGGCTTTGAACCGCAATCCTCAGATCTCAGCCTCCCGATTAGCTAGGATTCTAAGCATGAGCCACCAGCACCCAGCTTGAATCTTTTAAATATTGCCGTCTGTTCATTTACAAAGATAAGGTCCATACTCCTAAATATAACACCTATGAGAGATAAAATAATGTGGAGAGTGGTTGTCCAGTGATTTTTTTTTTTGTAGTAATACTGCTGTTAATAATTGCTCACATCTTTTAACTTTTTTCCAAGTGGCTGAGACTATGATAAGCACTTTATAACCTAAGAGTTAAGATTTAATAATAACAAACATGCATGGTGTTTACTGTTTCCAAGCATAGTTGTAGGTACTTGATACAAATTAACTCCTTAATCGTCACAACTGTTTTATGAATTATATTATCACTATATTGTCCAGAGAGGGAAACTGAAATTTTAAAGGCTAGGCAGCTTATCCAAGGAGATCACATGACTAGTAAATCACAAACTTTTGTTTGGTCCAGTCCCATGTTTGCAGGCTCCAGAGATCTTTCTCCTGATCATGAAGCCATACTGCTTTATCTGTACATTATCAGTGTTGGAAGTAGTTGAGAATGCAGAGTATGGCTTACTGAAATGAGATAATACTATGATTATTACTATAGAATAGGCATGCATCATGAAGATTATCTAGTTTTATCCATTTTACAGATAAGACATCTTAGGGCTTCTTTTGGTGTAGCCCCTGCTTCTTGGTTTTCTTTGGGCATTTCTTATTTCCTTATGAAATGTACTAGGTTTTTTGTGTTTTTGTTCTTTGTGCTTGTCCTGGGGCTTGAACTCGGGGCCTGCATGCACTGCCTCTGTTCTGCTCAAGGGTAGTGCTTGCTCTACAACTTTGAGTCATAGCTTCATTTTTGGCTCTTTTGTAATTAATTAGAAATGAGAGTATCACAGACTTCCTTGTCCAGTCTGGCTTTGAGCCATGATCTTCAGATCTCAGCCTCCTGAGTAGCTAGGATTATAGGCATGAGCCACTGGTGCCCAGAGAATGAGTTAGTTTTTAAGGCAGTTGGCTTGAAATGTATTTTAATTTTAATTTCTGGTTTTTGGTTGTTGTTTTTTTTTGTCAGTTGTGGGGCTTGAAGTCTGGGCCTGAACGCTGTCCCTCAGCTCTTCAGCTCCAGGCTAGTGCTCTACCACTTGAGCTACAGCACCACTTCCTGAAATGTATTTTAATTTTAAACTCATTAATATGCAACAAAGGCCTGTGAACAATGTTAATTTTTTCTAGTCAAAGCTTTTCAGAATTACTGCCCAAGAGAATTTTTCATAATTTTTAAAAGTAATTAAGTTTATTTAATTTCTGTCTAATGAATATTGAAAATTGCATATTTTGGTGATGTATACTTTCAAGTTGCACAAGTTTTCCTTTTTTTTTTTTGCCGATTGTGGAGTCTGAACTCTGGGCCTTGGTGCTGTCCCTCAGCACTTCAGCTCAAGGTTAGCGCTCTACCACTTGAGCCACAGCGCCACTTCCAGCTTTTTTCTGCTTATGTGGTGCTGAGGAATCAAACTCAGGGCCTCATGCATGCAATGAAAGCACTCTACCACTGAGATACCTTTCCAGCCCCTTCCTTTACTACTTTTTTTTGGAGGGGGGGGGGATCGTTTGTGGGGTTTGAACTCTTCCCTCAGCTCTTCAGCTCAAGGTGCACACTCTTTAACACTTTGAGTCACAGCACCTCTTCCGGTTTTCTGGTGGTTAATTGGAGATGGACTTTCCTGCTCGGGCTGGCTTTCTTTTTGTCGGTCATGGGGCTTGAACTCTGGGCTTGGGCGCTGCCCCTCAGCTCTTCAGCTCAAGGCTAGCACGCTACCACTTGAGCCACAGTGCCACTTCAGGCCTTTTCTGCTTATGTGGTGCTGAGGAATCGAACCCAGGGCCTCATGCATCCAAGGCAAGCACTCTACCACTGAGCCACCTTCTCAGCCCCCTTTACTTTTGATTGTAGAGAAAATACCAAGGAAAAGGACAAGACTGAAGGTACAACAGAAGAAACTGAGGAGAGAGAGCAGGCTACGCCCCGGGGACGCAAGACTGCTAATAGCCAAGGTCGCAGAAAGGGACGAATAACCAGGTCCATGACAAATGAAGCTGCAGCTGCTATTGCTGCAGCTGCAGCAGCCACAGAAGAGCCCCCACCACCTCTCCCACCACCTGCAGAACCTGGTGAGTGCAAAGAATTGGCAAGAGCAGACTAGTTATTTGGGATGCTTTTTCAATGCAGGGCCGTAGCAAGGACCACTAAAATTTGCCACCTAGATACAGTTGTTGAAGTTTGGTACTAAAATGTAAACTTGGGGCTCACTTGGTTGATAGGTTCTATAATGCTTAAGCCATACTCCTCCTACTCCTTTTTGCTTTTGTTTTCAGATATGATCCCCTTTTTGTCCAGGGTTGACTTCAGACCCAGATTTTTTCCCTCTTATCCTTATAGCTGGGATGATGCATATTCGCCATGCCCAGCTTATTTGTAGAGATGGTGTTCTCAGTGACTTTTGGCTCAGGCTAGCCTTGAATTGAAGTACTCCCAATCTCTGCCTCTATAAAGTTGGGATTAGAGGTAAGCCACTGTGCCTGGCTTAAAGTATGGTATTTAAACTTGAAATCAAAGTATTTTCTAGAAGAATAATAACTGTAATGTTGCATCCCTTATATAACTCTTTTTAATTTTTACTTAGTTGGTATGTATCAAAGATTTTCTTTTTTTTTTTTTTTTTTGTCAGTCGTGGGGTGTATCAAAGATTTTCTAATCCCTGTCATTTCTATTAAATTTTTTTCAATAACATTTTATTATTGAGGTATGACAATCATTTCACTATTGCTCAATTAGTTTGCTCAATTAGCTTGTCAATTAGTTTTTTTCTAAACCAATACAACTCTATAATGTAAAATCTTTTTGAACATAGCATTTTCTTTCTGTTATTTTTTATAGGAATCAATTCTTAGACAAAGGTATACTAAGTATAAGAATTGAAATATGTTTCTCTTTTCTTACAAAGTTTTATTATTAGCCTATAAAAGCAACTATGGCCAGGTACTGGTGGCTAATGCTTGTAATCCAAGCTACTCGGGTCGCTGAGCTCTGAAAATCGTAGTTTAAAGTCATCTTGGGCAGCAAAGTCTGTGAAGCACTTATCTCCAGTTAACCAATCAAAACCAGAAATGGAGCTGTGGCTCAGGTGGTAGACTTGAGCAAAACATTCCATACCCAGACCCCAAGGTTAAGCCCCAGGGCTGACCCCCTTTTCAATTAAAAAAAAAAAAGCTTTATGATAAAAGTGCTATCAGTGGTTCAGTAGTATCCGTTTCACAGCCACAGTAGGAAGACAGCATATTCTGGGGACAAGAATGATCTACTTGAACTAAGTAGGCTCAAAGGCTGGTGGCCTTGTTTGAACTTGCTTTTCTTACATAGAAATAAGCCTGCAAAATTTGTAAATAAAGAAGTGCTCTGATTAGATTTATCTTGTAAAAAGAAGTCTGGTTAATTATGGCATTCAGGTGAGACAGACTAAGGGCAGGTGTTCTGTGTTTGTTCTTTCTGTGCTGATTGCTAGGCACTGAAGGATGAACAAAAAGTGTAAGGAGAAGAGGAAGTAGATCTGCTAAGCAGGAAGTCACTGGATGAGGTGGGACTTTCTCAGAATACTGAGAGAGAACATGACACTGGGAGACGGTTGGAACTTTTCCATCTACTTGATGCTAGATACCTATGCTAGCCAATTTCCATAATTTCTTTTTTTGGTGTCAGTCCTGGGACTTGAACTCAGTGCCTGGGCACTGTCCCTGAGGTGTTCCTCTCCCCCTCTCCCCTGCCTCTCCCCCCCGCCAGGATGGCATTCTTCTGCTTAAACCACAGCTCCACTTGTATCTTTTTTTTTTTTTTTCTTTATTGTAAAGATACTATACAGAGGATTACAGTTACATGAGTGAGGTAATGAGTACACTTCCTCTTGAACATTGTTACCCCCTCCATTGTTTTCCCCCTACCATCCCCTCCCTCCCTCCCTTCCCCGAGGTTCTTTTTTTTTTTTTTGATTGTGATTAAGTGATTACATAATTTCAAAGTCACAAGTTCATTCTAACTTTCCTGGAGCAAATTGGCTATCACAGTCTGTAATATATAACAGTGTTCACATGTTATATACCATATTTGTGATCAGCAGCATGGGGATATTTAGTAGTGGTTCAACCAGATGAGCGGGAGTTCTTTGTTTCTTAAGTCCTGTTAGTTTTGTCGTATCACCTAACATTTTGGATTTAGCATCCACTTATCAGGGAGACCATGTACCATTTGTCTCTTCGTTCTTGGCTTACCTCGCTCAACATGATTCCTTCTAGCTCCATCCATTTCCCTGCAAATGCCATTATTTTGTCATTTCTAATGGCTGCATAATATTCCATTGTGTATAGATACCACAATTTTTGGATCCATTCATCTGTGGTGGGGCATCTAGGTTGTTTCCATATCCTAGCTATTGCGAACAGTGCTGCGATAAACATGGAGGTGCACGTGTCCTTGTATATTGGTTCCTGTTGTTCAGGGTAGATGCCTAGAAGTGGTATGACTGGGTCGTAAGGGAGGTCAATCTTTAGCTTTCTAAGGACCCTCCAGACTGCTTTCCAAAGTGGTTGTATAAGTGTACATTCCCACCAGCAGTGTAATAGGGTTCCTCTTTCTCCACATCCCCTCCAGCATTTGTCGTTGGCTGATTTGTGGATGTGGGACATTCTGACTGGGGTAAGGTGGTATCTCAGGGTTGTCTTTATTTGCATTTCCTTCACCACCAGGGATGATGAACATTTCCTCATGTGTTTCTTTGCCATTTTTATTTCTTCATTTGAGAAGTCCCTCTTTAGTTCCCTTGCCCATTTAGTAATTGGTTTGTTAGGTTTGGGAGGGATTAGTTTCTTGAGTTCCCTGTATATACAGGATGTTAACCCCTTGTCTGATATATTGCTGGTAAATATTTTTTCCCAATTAGTTGGTTGTCTTTCTAGCTTAGTTGCGATAGACTTAGCTGTGCAGAAGCTTTTTATTTTAAGGTAGCCCCATTTGTCGAGTCTCTCTCCAACTTGTTGTGACCCTGGGACTCTGTTCAGGAAGTTCCTTCCTGTGCCTATTAGTTCAAGTGTCTCTCCTACTCTGTCCTGCAGTAGTTTCAGAGATTCAGGTTTAATGTTAAGGTCTTTAATCCATTTTGAGTTGATGTTGGTGCATGGTGATAGGCTGGGGTCCACTTTTAGTTTTCTGCATGTGGCTGCCCAGTTTTCCCAGCACCAGCGGTTGAAGTGGCTGTGTTTCTTCCATTGTATGTCTTTGGCTCCTTTGTCGAATATCAGCTGGCTGTAGGCCTGTGGATTTATTTCTGGATCTTCTGTTCTGTTCACTTGTATCTTTTTGATGGTTAATTTGAGGTAAAGTCTTACAGACTTTCCTGCCTGACAGGGTCCTCAGATTCCATCCCCCTGAACAGCTAGGATTATAGGTGTGGGCCACTGGCACAGGGCTTGAATTTTTTTTTTTTCTTGTTGGTGGTGGTGGTGGTCGTGGGGCTTGAACTCTGGCGTGGACACTGTCCCTGAGCTCTTCAGCTCAAGCTGAGCTCTCTACCACTTGAGCCATAGCGCTACTTCCGGTTTTCTTGTGGTTAATTGGAGATAAGAGTCTCACTTTTCTGCCTGGGCTGGCTTTGAACCTTGATTCTTAGATCTCAGCCTCCTGTAAAGCTAGGATTACAGGCCTGAGCCACCAGCACCCAGCCAGTATGTTTTTACATCAACTATGTTCTCAATTACATGGTTTGTCTGAATGAGGGGTAACTTAGTTTTCTTAACTGTATTTCTCAGTTTCCACAGAGCCCGTAGAAACCTCTCGATGGACAGAAGAAGAAATGGAAGTTGCTAAGAAAGGTAAATCATAATGGTTCAGACCCCTGGGCTTTTTATCTTTTAAATAGTGATTAGTAATGAATGGGACGGAGCTAAGTTTTAAATTGGAAGAATACAATTCTTTCAAAAGAAAATATAGAATTTCAAAAAAAGTAATGTAAGTACTCAATAAGTATCCCAGTGTGCCTTAAAATGGCCATATTTTAAGGACGTAAGAGATTCTCTCTCTATAGTTTGAACAAGTTTATCCACTTTTTTTTTCTTTTTACCAGTACTGAGGCTTGAACTCAGGATCTGGGTACTGTTCCTGAGCTTCTTTGTGCTCAAGGCTTGCGCTTTACCACTTAAGACACAGTGACACTTCTGGTTTTTTGAGTCGTTTTTTTGGCGATTAGCGTCTCATAGGGACCTTTCTACCCCAGCTGGCTTTGAACCATGATCCCCATATCTTAGCCGGAGATAATTGTCTTATGGACTTTCCTGCCCAGGGTTGCTTTGTACTGTAGTCCTCAGATCAGCCTCCTAAGTAGCTAGGGTTACTGGCATGAGCAATCAGCTCCTGGCTTCATACTTTTTGACGAGACTCATCTCAAACCTTGATCCTCTTGACTGTGCCTCCTAAATAGCTGGGATTACAGGTATGAGCCACTGTGCTTGACCTCATTTAAAATCTATTTGCTATAATTGACATATGCTAAATTTATATAATTAAAAATGATTCACAATTATTCATCAAAATATCATGGTTTAGTAAGTAGATACTAGCTGTATCTTTTTTTCTAGCAAATATACCTATGTAACTATTTATACCTAGTGTTATACATAGTGTTTAGTCACTGTTCTTTTGGTGAGATTTGGTAGTGATCTTCCAGTTTTCATTATTAAAGGAAGCTAATTACATTAACCTTGAAAAACTGATGTTTGGCCTATAAGTTATTTGTACTGGGAATTACTACTTTTATATACCTGTGTCTAAGGTATATCTTTGTATTGCTCTTTACATATGTAAATATACACATACACTTATATTCTTTGCATGTGTATTTGTGTGACATACAGCTTGATTATAGAAATCTTAACTTGTTTAACTTTTTGTCATCTGTGACAGGCTTTTTAAAAACTAAATCTTTGATGGATTGTTCATAAATTGACTAACATTAAATGTTAATTATAAATGAAGTTTCATATACTTGAGATTTTGAGGCTGTAGGTGTTTTTTTTTTCTTTCTATATTTGGGTGTGTATGTTTGTGTTTGCTAATAGCAGGTATTATATTCTGTAACTTTCTTGTTTGGCTTCCTTGCTCATTGTGTGTGCCCTACCACTTGAGTCAACCTAGCATTTTGCTAGTCTATTGGAGAGTCCAGAAGAGTCTCCTGGACTTTTCTGCTTAGACTAGCTTCAAGCAATGACCATCCAGGTCTTACCCTCCTCAGTAGCTATGATTACGGGCATGAGCTACTGTGCTTGGCAAGAGTTTGTATTAATCATTTATATTTAGTTATTCTATTACTGGTTTGTTTCTCTAAGACTGTAAAAGTACCCAGTTAGTCAGTTTGTAAGTATATGAACCACCACTATGGGTCTATCATTGTTCTAGTTTTGTGGGAGGTTTGTATTAAGGATGAGATTTAGTTCTTCCTGGAATGAGCATGTTTTTGATTTGGGAGAAAAATACAGATATGTAAATGAGTTTTGTGTCTTAAGTATTTTAATAAATATTGAAGTATATTAAAAGTACTTGAAAGCACAGTTTTGTTAAAGATAGTGACCATAACACCTAGGCTGTTTTGTTATTTTTCTTGATTAATTAGGTAGCTGTTAATTAATGCTTGATCTCTTTTTCAAATACAGGCTTAGTAGAACATGGTCGTAACTGGGCAGCAATTGCCAAAATGGTGGGAACTAAAAGTGAAGCTCAGTGTAAAAATTTCTATTTTAACTATAAAAGGCGACACAATCTTGACAACCTCTTGCAGCAACATAAACAGAAAGTGAGTATATTAGAGGTGGTAAGTATTTATTATTTTTTTAACTTCAGAGTGCTTTTGAACTACAGAGAATTGTGTTTGTGTTATATGAGACCTAGTCTCACTGTGTAGTCCAGGCTAGCTCTGAACTCAAGATCTTCCTGCTTAAGACTCTTGAGTGCTAGAATTATAAACATCATCAGTGGTTCTTGGCACAGAGCTTGTTTTATATTTTTATTTATGTATTTACCTGTAAGAAGTAGGATAATTTCAAGGGCTAGAAGTCTGACTCAAATAGTAGAGTGCCTGCCTACCAAGTGACAGGATCTGAGTTCAATCCCCCGTACTCCCCCTAAAAGTAAAATGTTTTAATTTCTCTATATGAGTTAACTATTGCCTTTTGTACTGCCTTTGAAGACTTACATTTTTCATAATAGTATTTCAGTACTTCTGAATTACTATTATCTGGTAAAACATAGGCATTTTAAAATTTATTTTTGGTAGTATTGTATTGATTATGTTGAACAATTACCAAAACACAGTCCACTCAGATTTGAAGCAAAAAAATCATAATTTTAGGTTTGCTTGGGTTCCATAGTGAGGTCTTGAAGTAAAAGAAATAAACAGTTGTAACAATCAGAGATGTTCAAGACACTATGTTGAAAACAAACTTTACAGTTTCGGGAGGTGGTAGTGAGGAGAAGCTGGGGAGGTGGTGAGAAAAGGGATGGTAGGGGAAAAACAAAGGAGGGGTAACAATGCTCGATAAGAAATGTACTCATTACCTTATTCATGTAACCCCTTTGTACAGTATTCTTACCATAAAAAATATTTTAAAAACCTTCAAAATTCAAATCACTTTTTTTCTTTTTCAAGAGAAAGCCTATGGAATAAAAAGTCAGGGATTATAAGATTATTGAAAATTCTAAAAAAAAGTTGTAGTGGATTTTAAAGTTCTTAAAGTTTTTTTGAGTTCTCTGAGGTTAAAACCTATTTTCCTAAAAGCAGTATACTATATAATACAAAATATAATAACGAAAAAAAACCTAACATAGTAAGATATAATTCACTTTTCCTACTGTATTGACATTTGTGTTACGAAGTTTAAAGCTGTGATAGGTAAAAATGAGCATCAGTCATTGCAGGACACCACAGGTGCTGTACTCAATGAGTTCTGCATCTATAAGTCTTTATGAATTTTTTAAATGCCTATTTCACTGCTGCCTAGCATGTACAAGACCTTGAGTTTGATTTCAACACAAAAAAGTAAAATATGAGAGTATTACTTCTGATGTCTTTGATGAAGGAATAAGAATTTTGTTAAATCTTGAGAATTTTGTTAAATCTTGTTAATTTTTTTTTAATTTTGTTAAGTATTTTAGAGTACATGTCCTTTTATCTTTTCCTGTATTGTGATGAAATGAGAAGGGTTTGTTCAGTCAGCTCTTCTACTGTATGGCAGAGTGTAATGTTTCTGTCAGGGAAAGATTCTTATGTTCTTTCTCCAAACTGAACTAATCCACTATTTTTCATGGACTATCATATTTAATTTAATGTCAAACAGTTTTCAGTTTCAGTATTAGGCAGATAGTTTTTGACATTGGATGACCCTGTTATTGATTTAAAAAAAGAGCTTGGGGTATTTTTATACTTTGCCTTTTTAAAATTCTGTGCAAAAATGAGATGTTTTTTGAAAATATATATTCATTTTCATGTTTTTTTTTTTTTGTTGTTGTTGTTGTTGTTTTTTTGGGGTCCGGTCGTGGAGCCTGAACTCTGGGCCTGGGCGCTGTCCCTCGGTTCTTCAGCTCAAGGCTAGCACTCTACCACTTGAGCCGCAGTGCCACTTCCGGCTTTTTTCTTTTTGCTTATGTGGTGCTGAGGAATCAAACCCAGGGCCTCAGACATGCAAGGCAAGTGCTCTACCACTGAGCCACCTTCCCAGCCCTCATGTTTTTATTACTATAGAAAACACCTGAAGCACTAAACTTTAAAAGAGGAAATATTTATCTTAGATTACAGTTTTTGAAGTCCTAATGCATAGGCCACATTTCTTTTTTGGCTTGCAGCAAGTACATCACAGCAAGAATGCTAGTGCCAGGGTTTCTATTCACCTATGGAAAAAAGAAATGGGAAAGGTCAAGTTTCCTCTTTAGGGCCATGCTTTCAGTGACTTAGGCCTCAGCCTCACCTTTAGAAAGTTCTACCTTGTCTTAGGTCATTCTAGATCTAAATACAGCAAGCACCATGATCTCCCAATTATATACTTTTCTGATGAGATCAGTAATAATAATGGCAAATGTTGAAAATCTTGTGTAAATTTTTTTTTTTGAGGGGGTCTGGTATTGTGGATGATGTAACCCAGAACCTTTTGCATGCTAGGCAAGTGGTCTGTCTGAGGTATCTCTAGCCCTTCTATATTTATCATATGACCAGATCATGATGTTACATTAGATATCATTCACTGCTAAATGATTCATAAAAATTTAAGACAATGTTTTTAAATGGATCAGAGTATGAGACAGTTGAGCAGATTTTAATATAAAGTATATAAACATTTCTTGCTGTGATTCCAGGTTATCTTAGTGTAACTATTTGAGTCTTGCTACAGAAAGAATAATAGCCTCAATTATCTGAAGTTGCCTCCAATACTGTTTTTTTTAACCTACAATCTGTGTGAATCCATGTTTTTTCATATGCTTCAATGAAAACATTGTATCTAAGAATAGGGTACATGTGGAAGCACATTTGGAAATTCTGTTTATTATTGGGTCAGGCATTACAGAGATTTCTAAAACATTAAAAAAGTGTCGTTTTTTTCACTGTTATTCTTGGTTTGTGAAATAGTTATTTTTAAATGTTACAAAATATGTTTTTTATGTTGACATGTAATGGGTCTTTTGTGTGTGTGTGTGTGCTCTGTCTCTGAGCTTTTTTGCTCAAGGCTAAGGTTCTGCCACTTGAGCCACAGCTCCACTTCTGACTTCTTAGTAGTTAGAGATAAGAGACTCATGACTTTCCTGCTCAGGTTGACTTTTAACTATATTCCTCAAATTTCAGCTTCAGAGTAGCTAGGATTAGAAGTGTGAGCCACTAGTACCCTGCTTTGCTTGCCTTTTTAAATCAAGGCTGGGACGCTTACCACTTGAGCCACACCTCCATTTCTTTGAATGGTTTTAAAATAGTATGACCCTTGTATCCCTCTGGAATTATTCTCTTGTATTCCTGTAAGAAGCATAGAATGGATTTTTTTTTTTTTTTTTTGGTCGGTTATGGGGCTTGAACTCTGGGCCTAGGTACTGTCCCTGAGCTCTACTACTTGAGCCACAGCACTACTTCCAGTTTTCTGGTGGTTAATTAGAGATAAGAGTCTCAGAGACTTTTCCTGCCTGGGCTAGCTTTGAAACATGATCTCAGCCTCCTGAGTAGCTAGGATTACAGGCTTGAGCCATCAGTGCCTGGCAATAGAATGGATTTGTGGGGAGGACGGGGGTCGGTCATGGGGCTTGAACTCTAGGCTTGAACTCTGCTGTCCCTGCAGGTTCTTTAGTTCAAGGAGAGCACTCTACCGCTTGAGCCACAGTGCCACTTCCAGTTTTCTAGTGGTTTTTTCATTGGAGGTAAGAGTCTCACGGACTTTCCTTCCCGGGCTGGCTGTGAGCAGAGATCCTCAGATATAAGCTTCCTCCTGAGTAGCTAGGATTACAAGCATGAGCCAACGGTGCCTGGCTTGGAATGGAATTTTTTTTTTTTTTTGGGGGTCCAGTCATGGGACCTGAACTCTGGGCCTGGGCACTGTCCCTCAGCTCTTCAGCTCAAGACTAGCGCTCTACCACTTGAGCCACAGCGCCACTTCCAGCTTTTTTCTTTTTGCTTATGTGGTGCTGAGGAATCGAACCCAAGGCCTCATGCATGCAAGGCAAGCGCTGTACCACTGAGCCACCTTCCCAGCCCCTAATAGTTTTGTTTTGTTTTGTTTTTGAGGGACAACTGGGCGCTGTCCCTCAGCTCTTCAGCTCAAGGCTAGTGTTGTAGCACTTGAGCCACAACGCCACTTCAGGCTTATTTCTTTTTGCTTATGTGGTGCTGAGGAATCGAACCCAGGGACTCAGGCATGCAAGGCAAGCGCTCTACCACTGAGCCACCTTCCCAGCCCCTATGAATTTTTAAGAAGCTAGTTCACCCTAGTTCTATGACTTGTACATTGGAAATTGTTTCTTTTTAATTAGTTGACACTTCATGTTGGATCCTAAATTCTGTCATGTTCCAACTAAGAACAATGCCTAGGTACACTATAATAATCTTTTTTTTTATAAGTTTTTTTTATTGTGAAAATACTGTACAGAGGGGTTACATTTACATAAGCAAGGTAATGAGTACATTTCTTATCAAGCATTGTTACCTCCTTTGTTTTTCCCCTATCATCCCTTCCCTCCACTGTGATAAATCTTTAGCAGTTGGGAGTCTTGCTAGGAGAGGCTGACAGCTGAATTACCATGACAGGTTCTTTGAGGGCCTAGACCAGAACTACCAACACCAGAACTAGACAGAACCAAGGTATGCAAATGAAGTGTATTTAGCAATATGAGGTTGTAAATACTATGTAAGTAGCGTGTGTTTCTTAAATGTGTATGTACATACTCATACATGTGGTTTTATGTAAATACATAGTTTGCAGAATGGGAGCTACTATTTAACAACAAAAATGGACCTTATTGCTAATGATAGTAAAATGTATTTAGTAATAACACAAATGTTGTATTGTTTCCATAAGATACATGATTTTCAATACTAATTATAGCTTCTATTTACCCCAAGTAGAAAATTATATAAATAGTTTTAGTTATGTCAATAGATTTTTGTAGAATCATTATAAAAATAATTTTGAAGAATTCATGATAGGGATACATTCAGTTCATAACTTTGTTAGTTTTTTTTTGTTTTGTTTTGTTTTTTTTGGTATAGGTCCTGTCCCTGAGCTTTTTTTCTCAAGGCTAGTGTTCTACCACCTGAGCTACAGCTCCACTTCCAGTTTTTTGGTGGTTAATTGAAGATGAGTCTCACTCCCTTTCTTGCCCAGGCTTTGGGCTGCAAAACTTTGAACTGCAATCCTCAGACCTCAGCCTCCTGAGTAGCTAGGATTACAGGCATCAGTCAACAGCATTTATGTTACAGGTTTTGAAAATAATATTTATAACTATATAGGACTATTTGTGTGTCTTCCCCCTGCCTTTAGTTAAAGGCTAGCCAAAAAACAAAGAGAAAAAAAAAGAAGATACATTAATCAGGAATAGGGGAGGGGAATGGCAACTTCAAAACAGTTTAGTTGTAACTTAAAAAAGGGGGGGGGCGGTTTGAATTGAGGCCCTCACACTTGTTTAAGTGTTCTGCCACTTGAGACATGTTCCTGACCATTTTTGCTCTATTTATTTTTTACTTAGGGTTCACATTTTTGTCTTGGCTAGCCTGCAACATCCATCCTCTTATTGTGAACCTCTTGTGTAGTAGAATTGCTAGAATGTGCTACTATGCCTGCTCTAGATTTAATTTTTGATACATTTCTACAGCTGTTGTTAGACACTTAGCCCTCTTCTGTTATATGTGTGTATCAGTGTGTTGCATTATTGCAGAAATGATATTGTTTAATTGTTGCCCTTACAGTTATGTAAATCTGAAATAATTGCACATTGTGTACCTTTTTTAGACATCAAGGAAACCTCGTGAAGAAAGAGATGTGTCTCAGTGTGAAAGTGTTGCTTCCACTGTTTCTGCTCAGGAAGATGAAGACATTGAAGCCTCCAATGAAGAAGAAAATCAAGAAGATAGTGAAGGTATCTCAAAATCTTAAATTTAGTTGTGACTTCTGACATCCCACATGTAATGTATAATTTTTTTTCTTCACTGAAGAAACAGTTTATCACTGTTTTTATGGCATAAACTTTGAACTTGAACATACTGTACTGACCAACAAATACTTATATAGTACTTAAGGTGGTTCAAATACTACAAATAGAAGAGCTTGAAACTGATAGTCCAGCTTCATGTATCAAGTACCAACATGAATAAAATGTGTGCCTATCATTGCTGAATCTAATTGTTCAGTTATCATTATATTTCTTTTTTATTGTCTTAAGGTTGACTTCATATTTTAAATTTACGTATATATATTTGTGCTTCATGATTTCATATTTTTTACCATGTAAATATATTGGATTTATGCTTTCCTATGATAAGAATTAATGAATCTAGAAGGTCCAGTAGAGAAATACTAACCTAAGATACTGACGGAATAATAAAATCCCTTTGTTTCTTGAGTAAACCAATTATAGTTTTTTTTTTTTAACGTAAGCATTTTAAGCGCTAATGAAAAGAAGACACTAATAATTTATTTCAGATTACATTACTATTAACATTTTAACAACTTTCTTTTACAAATCGACTATCTCTGGTGTGAGGATTCCCATAATTCCCTTGCAGCCATTTATAATATTACAAATATTTGCCTGTCAGTTGGCCAGTGGCTCACACCTATAATCCTAGCTACTCAGTAGGCAAAGGATCATGGTTCAAAGCCAGCCTGGGCAGGAAAGACCATGAGACTCATATCTCCAATAAATCCCTAGAAAACTGGAAGTGTCACTGTGGCTCAAATAGTAAAGCACTCGCCTTGAGCTGAAGAGTGTGGAGACAGCGCCCAGGCCCAGAGTTCAAGCCCCATTACTGATTCCTCCCTCCCCCCCACCCCACCCCCCAAAAAAAATTGCCTGACTCATTTGCTCTTTTTCTTTTTGATTACCAGAATTTAAATTGTGAGTTTAATAATAGCTGTTAATCTTTTTTAATTTTAGAAAGTATCTTACTATATAGTACTGGCTGAACCCCCCCCCCCTCCCCCGTCTTAGTGTCCTAAGTGCTGGGATTATAGGCATATAACATCATACCTAGCTTAGAACTGTTTTTTGTTTGTTTGTTTTTGTGGGGGGTCCAGTCGTGGGGCCTGAACTCTGGGCCTGGGCACTGTCCCTTAGCTCTTCAGTTCAAGGCTAGCGCTCTACCACTTGAACCACAGCGCCACTTCTGGCTTTTTTTTTTTATTCTTATTTTTTTATGTGGTGCTTAGGAGTCGAACCCAGCCTCAGGCATGCAAGGCAAGAGCTCTACCACTGAGCCACCTTCCCAGCCCAGAACTGTTTATCTTTTGTAGGCTTTTACATTTTATGTAAACTCAGGAAGCCTTACACCTTCCTGTTTGATAAATACTATGTTTGGTTTCATTGATTTATTTAGAGACAGGATTTCTTATATAGCCTTAAGCTGGCTTAGAATTTCCTTTGTAGTCAAGGATGGCTTGCAACTCAGAATCCTCCTGCCTTAAGTCTCCTAAGTGCTAATATTATGTGTCATCTTGTCTTTTACTTATTTTTTTCCACTTACTGTTTTTTAATTTTTAAAAATTGTTTATTTGTGGTTGTGGGGCTTGAACATAGGGCGTGGATGCTGTCCCTGAGCTCTTTTGCTTTAAGCTAGTACTCTACCACTTAGAGCCACAGTGCTACTTACGTTTTCTGGTGGTTAATTGGAGATAAGACCTTACAGACTTTCCTGCCAGGGCTGGCTTTGAACTACAATCCTCAGATATCAGCCTCCAGAGTAGCTAGGATTACAGATTTGAGCCACAGGTGCCCAGCTTTTTTTTTTTTTTTTTTGTACTTGTAGTAGGGCTTGAACTCAGGGCCTGGGTCTTCTTCCTAAGCTTTTTGGTTCTCTGTGACTTGAACCACAGCTGTACCTCTAGCTTTTTGGTGGTTAATTGGAGATGAGAGTCTCATGGACTTTTTTTTTGCCAAGACTGGCTTTGAACAATGATCCTCAGATCTCAGTCCCCTGAGTAGCTATTATTACCGCGTGAAACTCTAGCACCTGACTATTCTTGTCTTTTTTTTTTTTTTTTTTAATCAATTGTGGGTCTTGAACTCTGGGCCTGGGCACTGTCCCTGAGCTCTTCAGCTCAAGGCTAGCGCTCTACCACTTGAGCCACAGTGCCACTTAGTTTTCTGGTGGTTTATTGGAGATAGAGTCTCAGAGAATTTCCTGCCTAGGCTGGCTTTGAATCATGATCCGCAGTTCTCAGCCTCCTGAGTAGCTAGGATTACAATCATGAGCCACTGGCGCTCGGCTTATTCTTGTCTTTTAAATATAAAATTTGTCTTGAAATGAGTTTTGTCTTTGAACATTAAGGAAACTTTTTCTGTGAGTCTTTTTAAAAAAGAATTTTTATTATTATAAAGGTGATATACAGAAGGTTACAATTGCATAAGTCAGATAAACAGTGTATTTCTTTTTGGGCAATTTCTTCACTTTCTATCACTTTTTCCCTCTTGTCTCTACCCACAAGTTCAGGCTTTTTCTGGGGGTGGCGAGGGTTAAAATGAAGTAATACGGGTGTAAAGAGAATATTGGAAGAAGCTCACTCTTTTTTTTTTTTTTTTGTCGGTCGTGGGGCTTGAACTCTGGGCTTGGGCGCTGTCCCTCAGCTCTTCAGCTCAAGGCGAGCGCTCTACCACTTGAGCTACAGCGCCACTTCCGGTTTTCTGGTGGTTTATTGGAGATAGGAGTCTCACGGTCTCTCCTGCCCAGGCTGGCTTTGAACCGCGATCCTCAGATCTCAGCCTCCTGAGTAGCTAGGATTACAGACGTGAGCCACCAGCACCCAGCTGGAAGCTCACTCTTATAATAATGCTGCCAATGCAATTTACTATACTCATGGTACTTTCAGAGCCCATAAGAGTCTGTGCATTTACAAAAGTTTTAGCTGGTAGCTAGTATTTCCTGGTATTACAAATGTAAATGAGACCTGGACAGTTGTTTCTCTTTTACAAGGTCAGTCACTGTGTGAAAATATTACTTGGAGAGAGAGACCATGTCCACATTATTTTTATTCTAGTGTAATTTTTTTTTTCTTTGGGTCCGGTCGTGGGGCCTGAACTCTGGGCCCGAGTGATGTCCCTCAGCTCTTCAGCTCAAGGCTAGCACTCTACCACTTGAGCCACAGTGCCACTTCCAGCTTTTTTCTTTTTGCTTATGTGGTGCTGAGGAATCAAACCCAGGGCCTCAGGCATGCAAGGCAAGCACTCTACCACTGAGCCACCTTCCCAGCCCTCTAGTGTAATTTTTGATTCATTCCATTTTATTTATCTCTTCCTGTATCTCATTTATAAGTAAATTTTAACATAAATGTATAGGTGGAGAAAAGGTAGTATATGTATTTATATTTGGTACTGTATATAGCAACAGGTACAGGGACAATATAGGTCAACTGTATTAATCTTTTTGGCTGTTATAATAGAATACTATACACTGGATAGCTTAAACTACAGACACTTATTTTTGCCTATTAGGAGGCTGAAAATCATGATCAGACTGCTGGCCAAATTCCTTCTGATGTCAAATCCTCTTCCTGGTTTGTAGAAAGTCCTCATATAACTTTCCTCTGTAGGCATACACTCCTAGTATCTATTCAATAACAGCTCTGCTGGATTAGAGGCCACTGTTATAACTTCATTTAACTTCAGTTTAAGGCACTGTCTCCAAATGCAGTCACACTGGGTATTAGGGCTTCAACATTTAAATTATGGAGGGAGTCACAATTTAGTCCCTAATAAAGCCCACCCCCATTATTACAAATTTGTTAATTTCAGAACAAAAAAGTTCTGTTTGTAGATGGGTTAACCGATTCTTTTTTTTTTTTTTTTTTGGTCTAGTGGTGGGGCCTGAACTCTGGGCCTGGGTGTTGTCCATCAGCTCAAGGCTAGCGCTCTACCACTTGAGCCACAGCACCACTTCCGGCTTTTTACTTTTTGTTTATGTGGTGCTGAGGAATCGAACTCAGGGCCTCAGGCATGCAAGGCAAGCGCTCTACCGCTGAGCCATCTTCCAAGCCCCCGGATTCTTAAAATATTAGTACCACAAAGTTGACTTTTTCCCTTCTATTTTTTTTCCTCTTATTTTGTCTTGGTGTAAAACCTTTTTGAAAATATTAAGATAGTGTGTCCCTCTGATTTGATCCATGATAGCCTAGTTAGTTACATTTTATGCAACCATACATAAGGTTATCCTGTGACATTTTGAATAGTTTTCTAATAATAGGAAATGAAGTTAGTTTTATTTGTAAGTTTTTATAGAACAGAATATAAATGTATATGAATATATGCTATATGAATATATAACAATATAAATATGTGACTTGTGATTGTACACTTGTAGTTAACTCAGGTGCACTGTTTATTGTGTGACAAGGCTCTTGCCTGTGGAAGAATGAAGAATATAGAATGAAGGGATATATGTGTGTGTATACATATATATATGTGTGTATACATATATATATGAGTTGAGAATTTCTGTGAATCACTTTTCTTAAAATATATTTGACATTCAAGATTAAAGTAGCTGAATCAGAAAGATTTACTACTTAACAAAATTTGGATTTATTCTTATTCTCTTGTTCTAAATAATTACTGTATACATACCACATATAAATAATTAGTATCTAATGTAATATGTTAAACATATATTTATATGTATGTAATGTATGATTGTACAAAATAGATAAATATCATGTGGGCACTGGTGGCCCATGCCTGTAATCAGAGCTACTGAGGAAGCTGAGATCTGGATCACAGTTCAAAGCCAACCTGACATACAGGTCTCTGAGGCTCTTTTCTCCAGTTAACCACTAAAAAAGCTGGAAGCAGAACTGTGGCTCAGGTGGTAGAGCACTAGACTTGAGCAAGAAAAATCTCTGGGATAGTGCCCAGGCCCTGAGTTCAAGCCC